TTTATCTCTAATTTTTGGTGGTCAAGAATTACTTCCGATATACGTGGGTATAATCTCTCTGATACAAACTGAATAAAATATATTTTCTGCGCAACTGATGAAGGATCATCCAGCTAAGTAAGGCGTAAAAGCCTAAATTGGGTTGGGAAATAAATTACTGCCAAGCGGGTAAGGCGAACTTCTTGTCATGACGTTTCAAGGGTATGATGAGATTACCGAATCGAACCACAAACTAGAAGTGTAAGAAGTTGTATCTTAGCGACGCCAAATTATTAAATTGATTTAATCACTTTGATTCACTTAAACTTCGATACCAAGTGTTTCCAACCTTTTTTAAATCTCTTCTTTTTCGTTTTTTCTCACTCTCTCTCTCTCTCTCTCTCTCCCTCTCTATCTCTCTCTCTCTCTCTTTCTCTCTCTCGGCTTTCTATATCTCTCTCCATTGTTTCTCTCTCTAACATTTGTAATAAAGATGCACCATTAGTTACTGAGCAGTTAGGAAAGAAGAAAGTTGCTTTAAAAAACCATGGATATCTCGAGGGATCATAAAATCTATTCGTGTAAAATATAGAATGTATTCAAAAGTTATTAAATCAAATCATCGACAGGAATTATCGACTTTCATTATTTTACACTTCGATACCAAGTGTTTCCACACTTTTTAAAACTCTGTATTCTCTCTCTCTCTCTCTTTCTCTCTCTCTCTCTCTCTCTCTTTCTCTCTTACTCTCTCTTTCTCTCTCTCTCTTGCTCTCTCCATTTCTTTCTAACCTTCGTAATAAACATGCACCATTGCTTACTAAGCAGTTAGGAAAGAAGAAAGCTGCAAAAAACATGGATATCTCGAGGGATCATGCAATCTATTCGTGTCACAATGTATTCAAAAGTTATTTAATCAAATCACCGACAGGATCTTGTTGATAAGTACAAAAAGTGCAGAATGTACTGCTCACTCTAGTAAGAAATGCAAAAATGAATTACTATTGCGATTTGTTACAAAATAATGAAGGACACAAATAAAACATGGGTCATTATCAATGAATTGTTAGCTGGATAAAAACAGATGAGAGAAGCGCTGAGGTGGACAGACTTATTAAGAAGGTTCGTGGAGAAAATATGCAACTTACATCTTAATCTGATATTTTTTGTAAATATTGGACTGAATTTAGCAGATGAATTGCCGACTAGAGATATAGCATATTATGGTGATTTTTTTTTTTTTTTTTTTTTGGTGGGGGGGGGGGGGGGCAGAATATCGAGCAATCTCTATTTTGGAAACCAATAACTGCAGTTGAATTTAGAAGTCAAGCTGTGCTTCTTGATACCAAAACATTTTGGGGTCACGATAACATTCCAGTGCAATTAATTAAAGACAGTGCTCCATTTATTTCACATCCACTGGCATATACATTTGACTTGTCATTAGAAACTAGCAAGGTTCCAGATGAATAAAGATTGAAAAGGTTACTCCCCTACACAAAAAAGGGCCAAGAGAAGATTCAGGTAACTATAGACCAATATCGGTTCTACTTGCCATCAGTAAAGTTTTTGAAAAATTGATAAATATCAGATTAATACAATTTCTAGAAAAAATTATATATTCAATTACCATCAAAAATGGATTCCGTAAGAAATATAGCACTAAATTATCATTGATCAACTTGATCAATTCAACTTTGAAATCTATAGATCAGGGTAAAGTACTCTCTAAAAAAATCGAGTGATCACGGACGTCACTCATCTGGAGAGTGAAAATGTAGTGAAAATAGAGTGAACATTCACTCTTTTCTTCTTAGAGAGCACTCTAAAATCAATTGATTTTCACTCCTAAACAAGTGATCACGGACGTCACTCCCAAGAAAATGAAAATAGAGTGAAAAATCACTCTTTTTTTTTAAGAGAGTAACTTTGGGTATGTTCATCGATTTAAAAAAAGCATTTGACACAATTAATCATAAAATTATCTAGTTATGGTACTCGAGGGTTACCTCTACTCTAGAATGGGTTAAATATTATCTCAGTAACCGATTTCAGTTTGTTCAGTGTGGTCAAACGTTATCAGAAAGGAAGAAGATAAGATGTGGTGTTCCACAAGATCAGTATTAGGGCCAACTCTATTTTCAATCTATATAATGATTTGCCAACTGTTGTTACTGATTATTTAGATTTTCGGCTGTTTGCCGATGATTCCAACTTATTTCATACTTTTCCTGCTGACCAGGGTAATGAAGAGACAGAATATACCTAAGTTGTGCATTGCTGACAAACTTACAATTAATTCAATGAAAACTAATTACATGTTAATAAGTAGTAGGAGGAACAAAATATGTATGAAACTGAAAATCGCTGTCGAGGAAATTTAAGAGGTTGATGTTGCCACTTTTGTTAAGGTTCACATGGATAGACATAAATTTGTCTTGGAATAGTCATATTCGTTTTGTAAATCAGTGTATTAAAAAAAAAAGTGGAGTGCTATTTAGATTGCGACATTGTGTGCGGGTAAGCCTGAACCCGATGACCGGGGTAATATATTTTGATTGCAGGGCCCTCAGGGAGAACAGTATGAATACTGATGAGGCTACCCTGGGTAAACAAGACATATTATTATTATCATTATTAGCCGTACTCTGATATTATTCTTTATACAATCACACATTTCTTACGGAATAGAGGTGTGGGGAAGCACTTAGACTAGCCTAATATTATATTCATAGAAAATAATGGAGAAATCCTCCAGATCCATTATTTAAAAGATTGCGAATTCTAAACGTGTATAATTTACACGATGTAACAATTTCTACTTTCATGTATACTTTCTATATAGTCAATGAAAATTTGTCTCATATTTTGATAGATTACTGTGACATTATATATAGAACATAGCTATTCCACAAGACAAAAAGTTAAATAATTTGTATATGTACACAATTTATATGTTACATTATTAGTTTCTATATTGTAAGACATTGTTGAGTATTCTAGGTTTTTTGAGTATCGATTGTAATAGTAAATTCATTGTTTTTTTTGTTTTTTTTTTACGTTTTCTAAACTGATTTGTACCAATATGCTTTGTTTAGCTGTTTAAGGGGTTGGGCTCAACTATCATGTGCTATTATCTGGCTCCTTTTACCAACCAATAGTTTCTCTTCTTATTTTTAAATTTTATAAATCATTGCTTGAAATGTATTGCTATTGGTAAATAAATCAAACTCAAATCAATCAAAATTACTCTCTCTCTCTCTCTCTCTCTCATTCTCTATACCCTTTCATTATTTTCTTTTTGGACGCGTTTGTGTAAACGTTGCATAATGAACATCGTATTTGTCTACGGGATTCCTATCTGAAGAAATAGCATTGAACCGATCATAATGAAGAAGAGAACTCATAAGGATTTTTATTTCAATTGTGGTATTATTAATGACGGAGAATGATCCAAATTGAACTATTTGTACTTCATTATATTTATATATCTATCTATCTGTCTATCTATTTATCTACATTTCATAAATTCATCTATCTGTCTATCAGGCTGTATTTTCATATGTCTATCTATCATCAATCAATTTAGCTATTCATCAATTTTCCACATTACGGAAAGAAAGATCACGCCCAAAGAAGAGTGCCACACAGATCGACTGTAAATCTGTCTGTAAATCATGGGGGGGGGGGGGGGGGGGGGGGGGGGGGGTAAGCGGACCCATTTTTTTTTTTTTTTGGTCTCGAAATTTCAAAATTTGACATTTTTTGTCGTTGGGGGGGGGGGGGGTAAGGTCACCTTATTAGGTTAGCCGTGGGTATAATTTTTTTTTTTTTTTTTTTTTTTTAATAATAAAAAAAACAAGGGGGGGTTTAGGATTTTTTTAGGGGGGTTTACATACATAAAAATACCAAAGGGGGGGTTTGAACCCCCCAACCCCCCCCCCCCCCCTGCGTACGCCCCTGTTTCGTCGGATATAGTCAATTCAATTTGACAAATGACAAACAAGTCAAGACAGTGCAGCAAACTGTAAGCGATTCGTACAAAAGCGGCGCATGCATTGCCCTATATTCGACCCAGCACCATTCTCTATGTTGAACACTACTTGTTCGGCTCTGGCAGAAATAGATTTATGAAATATTTTGTCTTCATGCAGTCTCATGCACGGTCAGTTTTATCTTCTGTTCTTATTTTATGAAAACGGATAGCATCAAATTCTGTATTCATTCCTTTTGCACATCTTGATCAATACATGTAAATTTACTCACATTAAGGATTTATATATAGGCCTATATTCTTTCTTTTTTTAAATTGACGATGTATTGCCATTCTATTCGTTAAAATATCTCCCGTCTCTTGGATATATGTTTGCCACAACCACTACAATTTAGAATATAGAGCAAGTTTCTAGATGTGCATACAACTGTCATGATATTTTGATTTTAACTATTTTGTATTATTGATGAATAGTGGTGGGCATAAGTCACGTTCAGTTACACCTCTTATCGAAACATTTTTAGTTCCCCCTTATCTTCGTTCAAATTAGGCTGAGGTAAATAGTTTCTTTAAATTCGGCGTCTGTCTCTATAGTTGTTTAAATCTCAATATTTTGTTTAGAAAAAAAAATCTTCAATAAAAAGGGGTCTGTTAGACCATGGACCTATTACTACTTGTAGTAGGTCCATAGTAAGATAGTATTTAAAAATTCCCATAATTGGGATTGTATTAAAAAAAAATTATATATATAGGTCTATATATAGCTAGGTCGCGATCTAAAAATATACTTCTTTTTCTCGATTTTTTTCTTTTTTCCCCGTTTAAATAAATTGTTCTTTATTACGTGCCTTTTATATGATACTTGCTCTGATAATATTTTCCGGATATTTCCTAGGCAAGAGCATGGATTCTATCTTTTTTACTTCTTTAATTTGTGTGAGAACGAGAATTGACGATACAGTTTCTGCGCGCATACACAGTACACGCCTACCACTACGCGTACGTACCACTGATCTCTATGGTACGTACAGCAACTTTGGGGTCCGTGCGGACGGTACGTGTCACGCAGCTCAGAAAGCTAAACACAGCTGATTTGTTAACAACACACGCCGAATTTAGCGGGTGGGACTGACATAACCTGAGAAAGGCTAGCAGACTTCTTTTCTGATTTCTTCGTTTCTCATGCCTGCAAATTGTCAGTGAATCATATAAAATGGGTTGTACGTGCACCAAGGACCGGGTAACGGTTGGAGGGAGGCGATTTTACGTCATGAAACGGCTAGGAGAAGGGTAAGTTGCTGGTGGATTTTTGTTGTTGTTTTTTTGTTTTTGTCGATCAACAAGTTATTAGATATAGATCTAGGGGTCTAGATCTAGATCTAAATATAATACTAATCTACATCTAAGGTGGTACTGGACAGGACCAATTGTTATATACGTCCAGATTAATAAATAGCTATACATAGACAGTATAACTCTTTTGTTTAACTATGTGTGGTATGGTTAAATACCTTTGTCCTAATTGCCTTTGGTATAGATCTAATGTTAGAAGACTAGATGATCTACATCTAGACTTCTAGCCTATATGTGTTTGAGCTATGATGAGTTGAACATGTGAAATCAAATGAGATCCAGGACCATGATGATTCATGGTGTTTAGAAATAAGATTAAGAATTTAGATCAAGAAACCACTCCGAATCGAGACATTCACAGAGCTCTTCATTTCTGAAGTATACTCTAAAGTGTTCCTTATGATGACATTCTTCCCATATGATACTCTGCTATAACTTGCAATGCCAATGGAAAGTTTCTAATAATAAATAAGAAGTTCAACAGCGACAGATGGGAAGGATGCCAATGTAATTGTGGTTATTAGCATGTGCGTGCCTGTTAAATGGCGACTAGCTTGAATACTGATCCCCAGGGAGTGTAGAACATGCACTGCAATATGCAGAATAATCCAGTGCCAAAAAGAGGTAATATTAATAATAATATGGGGAGGAGGCTGGAGCTGAAGGGGACTCTGGACACTTAACAAAAATAAACACCACTTTGCCTTTGGATTTAAAAAATGTATGCAACAAATAGCATTAATCATCATAAATATTTATCCTTAAAGTATTGTCTAAGATAAGTCTGAAAAGATTCATAAAATATTGCTTGTACACTTCTTCAAATTACTGCTTCAATTTTTTTAATCAACTGCCCGGATGCACAACCTGTCCTGACACACAACCTCCGGATATACTGTACATGCCATGCTTTGATCAATTAGTGGTAAAGAGCTTTATAAAAAAAAATGGGTGTGATTATAACCGAGTCTGACATGTTTTTTATATTACAGTGGCTTCAGCGTAGTGGATCAAGTAGAAGATGAAGTGGGTGAGAAGTTTGCTCTGAAGCGTATTCAATGCCATGGAGCTGAAGATGACAGACAAGCGAAGAAGGAGGCTGAATACCATTGTCAATTCAAACATAAAAACCTCATCGGACTAGAGGAATGGGGCTCGGTTAAAGGAAAGGAAGGAGTTACAGAGATTCTTTTGGTGCTGCCATTATTAAGGTATAGTATGCAGGACAGCATAAAATGTTAGCAGTGTTTGTCTAGTAAAAGTGATATGAAAGGGTATAAACAACAACCTCTCTATCCAAGAAGTATGTTTTTTAAATATTATATTATTGCTATATGCCTATAAATCTTGTAGAAACAGGGGTAAACAGATATTCTTTTGGGGCTGCCATTATTTAAGGTATATAAAACTATAGTTCACAGCATGAAACATTGTCCAGTGTTTGTCTAGTAAAAGTGGTAAGAAATGTTATAAACAACAACCTTTGTATCCAAGAAGTATATATATTTTCAATATTATATTATTGCTAATAAGTCTTGTAAAAACAGGGGTAAACTTACAAACTTAGGGAAAAGATTATATCAAAGCAATTGTCAGAGGGTTTTCATCTTTTTCACATGCCATTATTAGGTCTCATGATAAATGTCTCCAATTTATTTGTGATTATGAAATTGGTTTAGAATGTAGGCAATCTTATTGGTCACATGACACAATGTGACTGCGCATTATTCTTTCCTACAACCTATTGGGCAATATATTAAAGCAAATGGCAGCCCTTATGATTGTATGACTCCGGGGTTTTTATCAAATTTATTGCTTATTTCCTGACTTTATAATCATATTGCCGTAGTAGTTTTCTACTGGTATTGTAAGATGTAAGAAAAGATAAAAATCCTGTGACTCCCATAAACCAATGTTTGATAGCTATAAAGCGTGAGATTAGTAATACATAAACATGCATGCTGTCAAAGCTGCACAAGTAAATGTAGGATTAAAGGCATCTATTTCAAAAATAAAAATAAATGATTTAACTTCTTTCAACTTGAAAACAAACATCATGATTTTTATTTACCTGTGTGCCCATATCGGCTGAAACAAATTCTGATTTTTGAAAAAATAATTCAGAATAGTTTTGTTTTAAATACCAGGGCCCCTTGACACAATGATAAATTAACAATTTATTGTTTTTGCATTCGACCATGAAGTACAATCTATTGCTAGGCTTTGTGTTACAGGTCACAGATGGTGTTATTGATACATGATTCATGAATTGATTCTCCTAGAGAGGAACATTGCAAGATGAACTGGATAAGATGAAAGCTGATGGAAGGTGTATGGCTGAAGAGAGGATCTGGAGGATATTCAAAGGCGTATGTGAAGGGATCAAAGCATTACACACAGCCAAACCCAAGCCACTAGCTCACAGGTCAGTTCACCTATGTATTGTGTCACCTATGTTGCAGTACAAATTTTGTACAAATATATGTCATGAACCAAACATTGATCCCCAAATTTCTGCTTTAAAAGTAAAATAGTACCATTAAATGTTACAAATACGTCAATTGAATTTTGCATCGTTTTACACCCAAGCCACTAGCTCACAGGTCAGTTTAATTTTTTTATATGTATTAATTGTTTTAATACACAGAGACATGAAGCCAGGTAATGTAATGTTAGCTGAGGATGATACACCAGTTATAATGGACTTTGGATCTATGGGGGAAGCAAGGATAGAGGTCAAAGGTCGCTCCGAGGCATGTGCTCTACAGGTAAACATACAGGCCTAGTCACCTGTTCTCTTTGTCTTCTATGTTGGTTGACATAACATGCTAATGTCCTTTGTCAAGGCATTAATCTACATTTGCCACTCCATACCCAGGAGAGTAATGGGGACCTGGTAGGATGGTGAAAGCCTCTGTGTTATTGATTGCCATATGCCCTCATGGTGATTATCTGGTAGGAATACTCCCCAGGGAGTGGAGATGGTGCACATTGTGCATGGATGAATCTGATGACGGGGGTTTTGATATCTGTTAAGCGCTTAGAGACGATAATTCGTATTGAGCACTTTAAATCCAGATTATTATGATTATTAATGTTTTCTGTGGTCATTTATTGTTTGTAACATATGGTTGAATTTTTTGTTTTTGTTTTAGTTAATGAGATGTATTAAGCTCTAGCAATTTTTTTCTTCTTTTTCATTTGTAGGTTGATTGAATATCTCAAAATCAAATGTAGGATCTGAAACTGGAACATAATTTGATGTGGATTTACACAATCTATGATGGAGAATTTGATGTTTAACTTGGAGTCCTGTTTCATCATGTTATAGAGCCTTGTTTTGATGAAAGATAAGAACCTGCTTGTTTTAAAAAATTGAAGACAAAACATGAAGTGTTGCTTTGATTGATGTTTATTTATAGGATCTAGCTGCTGAGAAGTGTAGTATGTTATTCCGAGCTCCAGAGCTTTTCCATGTAGACAGTCATTGCATCGTGGAAGAGAAAGTAGATATCTGGGTAAGTATCTTTCCACTCTTGAGGCACTCTGATAAAAACTTGTAAACTTCCACATGTAAACTGGAATAATGCAATCAAAGAGTAGTGAGCCATATATTAACCGTTATGAAGTAGCTGGTAGTTATTATGATCTGCAAGAAAATCGATCTGGTCAATCCATTTGTCCTCTTAATTAGCCTTGGCACTTATTTTATCCCAAAATTTAATATTTTTAGATTGTTTTTGTTACTGAATTACAGTTGGAACCCAATAGCTTTTTCATAAAAATACTCCAGAACCAATAACTGCAGGATTTTATATGTGCTGTGTTTGGTATACTTTTCCGAATTTGTGGAGTTGAAAGTCATTTACAAAGAGGAAATATTTATTCTTTATATTAAAGGTAATGCAAGATTTGGGAAAATTGGATGGACAGTAATTCTTAAAATTTTGATATATTTGGATGCCTCTGTGGATGTATTATAATCAATAGAAAATTTAGCCCCTAAAAACACTTCTGCTTTCGAGAAATTGAATAATAAACAATTTACCGGTGCTCCCAGTCAATTTCAAATATCGCCCAAGGCCATTCTATGGTAGCTGTGACCATGAAAATCTCAGAATATGCAGTTCTGATATATAACTTCCAAATGGGAATACCAGTAGTAAATAGGTCGATTGTAGACAAGAAACATTGTTTTAAAGCTTAATTAATATCAGTCATGAGAGGGAGCTATACAGACTAAAGAGTTTATCATTTACAATTTCATCACTTTAGACTCGATCTCAACCATGACAACGATCATTAAATATTGTAAAATTGCATTTGCCTCTAATATGTTCATTTGAACCAAATTCAAGATCCCATACCAAAACTTTGTATTACCTTTAACTAAGTCACATCAACGAGACCAATAATAAACCAAAGGGATGGTCACATTACCCCGCATGGCCAAGAGTTGGTGTGGCTAGTCTGCAAGCACAAACCCTGGTCAGTCGTAAAAGTGAGTCTGCACTATAAGACTACCTTAGGCCATGTACTGTAGCTGCTCCTGACAGTAGGTAGCTTGGCTAGACTTCTCTCAAGGCACAACGATTTGTTGATAAAGTGTTTTAAATTAGGGTCTGTGCCTGCAGAATATGGTGTGGCTGTGTGACTGAACTATACATTGTTCTCTTGTATAGTTACGGTATGAACATCTCTTGAAATGTGAGATGTGAGATTTTTTGGGTACTAACGATTAAACACTTAATTTGTTTACTGAGTGACTGAAGTATACATTGTTCTCTGGTATAGTTACGGTATGAACATCTCTTGAAATGTGAGATGTGAGATTTTTTGGGTACCGGTACTTACGATGAAATGCTCAATTTGTTTACTCAGTCTCTAGGTTGTGTACTCTTCAACATGGCATATCTTCACTCACCGTTTGAACCTATCTATGCGAGAGGAGATAGCATCCATTTAGCAGTACTCGGTAGGAATTTCAAATTCCCTGAAAACTCAAGGTAAGAATTAAAATGAGAAGGAATTCTCAAACATCTTTATTTCGAGGATATTAAAAGTCTTAACTTCATATAAACTGAAAACCGAAAACAATGTGGTTGAAATAGTTGTATGACACTTGCTCCTGCAACAATAGCCTAACCATGATTTCCTTCAAGAAAAAAATTCCTACCTTACGCCCTTGACCCAACACTTTACCTAACCCTAAACCTCACATAAAAACCCAATTTCAACTTATACCTTTAACGAAATAAATCCCGTAGCGATGGTTGCAGAAGCACATGTCAGATCCCTGGTTAACAGTCGTAGAATTGATTATCACGTTACTTGTCCCTTGACGGTGTACATGGTACCTATTAAAGTATCATCATGTATTTGTGAATTTTTTGCATCATTCTCTTATTCCGTGAGAGTGAACGTTAAATGATAACAAATTTGCTATTAGATATTTGGCAATAGACCCGTTTACTAATATATTCAAATTTAGAGATGTTTCTTTCCTGGGGACCTAGGGGCAAGTTATTCCATTAACCTGTTATTAATGAATGAACTACAATAGTTGGAATTCAGTCTGCATTCATTATTCGTTGCTGTGTCAGGCAAGCCTTCAGGTTGTCAAGAACAACAATTGTTAAAAAAGTATGCATACAATTTAAATATGCTAGTAAACCAGTCTATTAACACATTTCAGCATAAGTTTTGAAAAGTGGTCCAAAAGGCCTACATAATTTTTCAGATGGAAATATGTGAGAGAGGTTATATATATTACCACTAGACCACTATTTGGCACTATTCTCAAATCTGTGGCTGTAGAGATAATATATAAAAGAGGCATCTATATATCTTACCAAATAACATATGCCTACTACAGTATTCTGAGCCATTTGATATGGGTTCATAAGGTCCTACTAAGCTGGGTTTAATTTTAATTTAACTCTAGCAAACTTGATTGTTATGTTGATAATATCAACAAGATTAATTTTTAAGGCATTTCATTTTGTTTTCAATTTCCTTCAACTCTTTCTCTTTCTTTCTGCCCTTTTGTAAATTCATTGCATGTATTATGTATATCAGGGACTCATCTGGGCTGTTAAATCAATTAATCACTGAAATGTTGCAGGTTGATGCTAACGAGAGACCCTCAATAAATGAAATACTTGAAAAACTAACTCATTAATTGATGGCTAATTCTTACAAATATTAAAAATAATAATAACAATATAATAGGGTCATCACAGATTGAATATTCATATCAGAATTATCTCAGTACATGTATATAATATCTTATGTCCTTTGCACAAAGACAAAAATTGTGTTTTATGACTACTCTTGAGAAGGTTAAAAAAATATTTTATTCAAATTTTAAAATGTTTGCAATATAGGCCTACTTGCTATAAGATTCAAATAAACGCTTTGTTTTTTAAATCACATGTTTTTATCTTTTTTTAATGAAAGTTGTAATGTTCATGTAGAAGGTGAAACAAAATGATTGTATTCAAGCTTTAAAATGTTAGCTAGATAGGCCTACTTGCTGTCAGATTCAAATAAACTTCTTTTTTTAAAACTAAATCTTGTAATCTTTTTTTAAATGAAAGTTGCAATGTTTATGTAGAAGGTGGCAAAATAATTGTACTCAAACTTTAAAATGTAAGCAAGATAGGCCTACTTGAGACCTTATTTGTCTTGCTTTCTTTTATTCTAACTTTTGAAATCACATATTTTAACCAAATCAATTGATATAAAGTGCAATGACAGAGACTCCTAATAGTGTCATTTTAAACCAGTTATGTAGACTACATTCTAAATTTGATTTGGTTGATGGGTTGGAGGAGAAGCAAATAGTTTATACTAGGTTGAAAATCTAATAAAGAAATAACATGGGTGTCATGGTTATTTACAAATGATGGTGATGGAAAACATACATGTGTATATATTGATGTCACTTTCTCTCTTCTCTTATAATTTTCACTAACAATATTCATCTTATTTATTTATTGTTGATGGTGATGGAAAAAATACTGTATATATTGATGCCACTTTCTCTTTCTCTCTCCCTTATTTCTTTCCACACAAAATGTTCATTACATGTGCATCACATCATCATCATCCTCGCTTGACATCACTCACATGGTTACCCTCACCCTCTTGAATTCTATGAAATTTTATATCACATCTTCATCTTTTTTACTAATTTTAATATTTCTTAATTTTCTTCTAATTCTGTTTTAATCTTTCTCATTTCGTGATTCACATATATTCATCTGTCTTGATAACTGCCATATAATCCTAACAATCACTTCTCCACTGTATATATACCCATATGCACATATGACTAATCATACTCACATGACTAATCACATTCACCTGACTAATCTCACGCACATGACTACTCACATGACTAATCACACTCACATGACTAATCACATTCACCTGACTAATCTCACACACATGACTAATCACACTCACATGACTATTCACACTCACACGACTAATCCCACGCACATGACTAATCACACTCACATGACTAATCACACTCACATGACTAATCACGCTCACATGACTAATCACACTCTCATGACTAATCACACTCTCATGACTAATCACACTCACATGACTAATCACACTCACATGACTAATCACACGCACATGACTAATCACACTCACATGACAAACACACTTTTAACACACACCAGGTATTCCCAAGGTCTTCAGGACACTGTTTCGGGTATGCTAGTTGTAGAAGCTGTAGAGAGACCAAACATAGACTGGGTCCTAAACAAAACCACTGAGGGACAACTCAACATGGAAAATAGAATATAGACTCAACAGGGGACTAGTCTAAGTTTGTTTCCGTTCTAGTCCAATCAACAGGCCGCTATTGTAACAGGACTATTAAACAAAGCTACGAAGCGACAAGTCAACATGTAGGCTCATTGAACTTGTCTAAGCTTTTATGTTCTAGTCCAATCAACTGGCTGCGGTTGTAGCAGGACAAACAAAGCTACAAAGCGACTACCGGTAGCCAACATAGAGGACAGTATGTATGCTCGTGGGTATAGTCCAAGTTATCTGGTCTGACTAGTGGAAGCTAATGTAGCAAGACCACCAAAGCTATCGAAGGACAACTGGCCATGGAGAATAGAATATAGACTCATTGTACTACCAATATTCCTAAGTTCTCTAATCTGGTCCAATCGACTGTCCTCTACTTTATTAAGACCACCAAAGCTACAAAGTAACAAGTCCACATGGAGAGCAGGATTTAGACTATTGTAATAGTCTCAATGGTCTGATCAGCTGGCTGCTTATATCCAACAGTGTTTATGATATGTATGGTCTAATCAAAGTACTCTAGTCTTGTATTACATTACCAGTACTGTTAACAGAGCTGCCAACTAGTACGGATTTCCCGTAATTGGTACGGAAATTGACGACCATTACGGAATGTTGTTTAAAATTACGGATTTAAAAAAAAAAAAAAAAAAAAAAAAAAAAAAAATGATTTTTTTTTTTTTTTTTTTTTTTTTTTTTTTTTTTTTTTTTATATATATTTTTTTTTCCCCCCCACTTTTTCCTGGAAGACTGTGTTGTGATGATATGAAACTCATTATTTAACAACTTTGTGTGAGTAAAATCACCAAAAATGTCAGATAATCATGTGTCTGTGCAATGTTGGCGTGCCGTTTTTATTAGAGTCATAGCGCCGCATAGGAAATTACTGATTTATACCCAAAATTACTGATTTTGAGCCTTGTGATTACTGATTTTCGGTTCTGGAGGTTGGCAGCTCTGTGTTAATGACAAAGAATCTTTTGCTCTGAAACCTGCCTGGGATTGGTTTTGTGGTGAGACTTTTGAATAACTAATGATTGACAGTGAAAAAGACCAACCACGTTTTAGGCCACCGAGACACAATTCTAGGAGTTGTCCATATGAAGGTCCCACTGTTAGGCCAAGATTGATGGTCTGTGAAGTACGTACTTAAAGGTGCCGAAAAGAGTAGAACATGATTTAGACTATTGAGGCGTTGCAAGAAAGTTGCAATAAATTGCAATCTCCAAAATCAAGCATAAGTCTTGCGATTAATTACAAATTTGCAAGTGATCGCAACTCAACTTTCTTGCAATGCCCCATTAGAGAATAAAAGATAGATTTAGTTAGCTTAATTTAATTGTTAAAACTTTAATACGAACAAAATCCTAGGAAATTTAGGAGACTAGTGGGGCATTACAAGAAAGTTGAGTTGCAATCGATTGCAAATATCAGTTGCAAATTTGCAACAGCTTGCAAACGATCGCAACTTTCTTGCAACGCCCCGTATGTGATGTACGATCATTACAACTCTTAGTGCTGAAGATAAAGAGAAGTGCATAGGAAGCAACTCAAAATGCAGAACAAAGAAACTCTTGAGGAACGAAACAAAGGGATATGTAGATTTCAGTACTAAAAACCTCAACGAACATGGCAGCATAAAATAGCGGAACCTGTGGAAATCCAATAACAGCTGTGCCATCAACTGAAAATTTTTGCTTTAATAAAAGTGAAATGAATATATCATGTCAAGGCTTTAGAAAGAGGTAATATGGATATGTTGTGTCATCTGATTAAAGCAGTCGAGCTATGGCAAACAAAATAAGTATGAGTTCTTTTATACTTCAGTACTTTAGCAGAGGCTTAAAGAGTTCATCCTACCTTCAGTTTGGTTTTAATCTTTTAATTCTGTTTTCAATACAAGTTATGCTGGAGGAATGGAAAGTAAAGAACGGCTAGTTCAGTTTCCTTCTGTCGTGCAACTGAGCAAACCTTATTTGATATATATGTTTGTGTATATGTGTGTCCTTGCAAAGCAATATGTTAGACCTATTATGTGCTTAATACTGCCATAGAAATAAAAGATTTTTTGGTATTCATTGTGATTGATAAGAAATTCACAATTATTTAAAGAGTTTGTAATTTGTGTCAGGAGATACATCACATTTTCTTAGAGGGATCCCCTAAACAAAAAATGAACGCATTGAGAATGCATAAGACAAAGACTACCTGTCTTAAAGGTAATACAAAGTTTTGGTATGGGGTCATGAATTTGGTTCAAATGAACATATGGAAGCATATGCGATCCTACAATTTCAGTGATCCTTGTCGTGGTTGAAATCGAGTCTAAAGTTATGAAATTGTAAATAATTAACTCTTTATGTTGTATAGCTCCCTCTCAAGGTCAAGATATTAATTACCGGTAAGCTACAAAACAATGTTTCTTGACTAAAATCGACCAATTAGCTATTCTCGTTTGGAAATTATATATCACAACTACATATTCTGAGATTGTTATGGTCGCAGCTACCATTGTACTGCTTCTTCTAAAAAGCCGAAGTGTTTTAGGGGCTAAATTTTCTAGTGCTTATAATACGTCCAAAGGGGCATCCAAATATATCAAAATTGTAAAGAATCACTATCCATCCAATTTTCAAAATTTCCCAAAATTTTATATTACCTTTAATGGTCAGGTTGTCAGAATCTGTATGTTTATATTTAATTCAGGACTCAGCTTTATATTTTTTTTAAATATAATAAGTAGGCATATCATATAAATCATGAAAAGACAAACAATTGATCAAAAATTTTAAACTATCCAGTCTAAACTATTAAGTAATGTGACATCAGAATGTAGTCATATTTTAAAATCTATTTCTGATCATATACGTGTGTATCAAATATGAGATTACCTTAACACAGTGCAATTCTTTATGGGAAATGGTTTCATATGGGAATGAAAGCAATAAGAAGGCTTACAAATTGGGTTTTTACATGTGCCACACTCAACTCAAGTAAGGTAAACGTGTGCCTGGCAGGAATTAATGTTCTTCTGTATGCATGTATGATCCCAGACCAGGGACCCATTTCTCAAAGCCTTTTTTCAATGACAAATGACAAAAATCAGTGACAAATCTGCTGATAACCAATCAGAAGCAAGGATTTCAGTAGCTTATAACAGGTATTGTAACTAGTTATTGATTACAAGTTTTATGAAACGGGTCCAGAATGCTAGCTAGGATTCCAGACCAAACATGAGGCTTATCCAATGTCTGATTGACAAACTGCATTTATTTATCCCTTTATTAACCCTTTCAGTACTAAGCTTTGAGAAAACTTGGACTGGTGTACTAAAAAGGCATGTTATACCAAGATTAAATTGTAAACGGCAGTTTTATATATATATATATATAGAATGTTATAGTATTAAGGAAATACACAATTTTCATATTCCAGCGTAATTTTAAAATGCCAAGTTCTTTGTCCGCGGTCCAAGTCCCACCGCGGCACTAATGTCTTTTGGCAAGGCATTGATCTACATTTGCCACTCTCCACCCAGGTATTAAATGGGTACCCGGTAGGATGCGAAAGCTAATGTGCTTAGATTAGCAAGTGTGCGCTTGTAAACATGACGCCTGGCTGGAATGCTCCCCGGGGAGTGGAGAATGTGCATACATTGTGTGCGGGTAAGCCTGAATCCGATGACCGGGGTAATAATATATATAAGCGCTTTGAGAGGGCCTTCGGTCCTGTAAAGCGCTATATAAGAACTAGCTATTATTACTATTATTATTATTATTAAATTACATAAGAAGTGGGTTAGAAAAACAGGACAAAATTGATATCTCTTGACTTTACTCAAGCCATTCTAGTTAATCATACATGTCCTTTCAATCACCCTGAAATGAAAATGTACGTAATGTTGCATATTAAATTCAAAAATTGAAATACGTTGTATTTGCACATGTACCTGTATTCTTCTCTCTGTATATTATAATAAATACTATATGCATAAAAGACTACCGGTATATTCGTTAGTTTCTTTTGTTTCTGCCTACAATTGTTAAATGAAAGTTTGTTTTTTTCCTGCCTATTTTTTATATTTCATTTCTATTTTTCTATCCCTATTTCTCTCATCTTCCCTTTTAGCTTCTGGGAGGGGTGATGTAGCCCACAAGTTTTAATGCCAATATAGAATTTGGCCAAAAAATGGAATTGCTTTTCAAAAGAATCTGGCTTGAATTGATTCTGAAATCTCCATCATTCATTACATGTAGATGGACTTTTTGAAACGGCAAGATGTTACATAATGCTAGAAATCTTTCCCCCTGCAAATTGCCATTCATATTTTCATATTTTAAGACGATATACCTACGTATGAGGAATGCAACCTTAATTTCCATTTATATGTTTGCACATACAAATACATATTCCACCAAAACCTTTGGCAGATATCATGATTTTTACTAATGAATATCATTCAGTGTGATCTAGAATAGGTACGTAATAATTTGTGAGTGCCTTCGAAATGCCAACTGGATGGAATTTTCTCTACCATGGTCGAGCAGAGAAAGAGAGAGAGAAATTGACATAGAAATTGGCGGAGAAATTGATGTAGAGAGATCAACAGATTCCGTCAATATCTCTACCAATATATCTCTCTCTTTCTCTGCTTGGTAGAGAAAATTCCAGATAGAGAAAGAGAGATTGACAGAAAAGTTGACAGAGAGAGAGAGAGAGATATTGACACAGATATCGACAGAAAGAGAGAGAGAGAGAACTTCATTCTATTGCATCTAGTGATCACAGTGATGATATAAACCTTGGTGTACCTGATATGCGTTTTGAAAAGCACTGTAAAAATTCATCTGTCTTCTCTACTTCATGTACATCTGTCCTTATTTCTATGAGCCAGACCTCACTTATCATTTCTTGTTTTTTCCATAAATTCTCTACTTTCCTGTATGTCCACTTTTCGATTTTCTCCTTTCCTGCAACTGCTCTATCTTGTGCTTAAACATTACATTCCCAATTTTCTCTTCTGAAGAATCTTTCAGAATCCCCTTTTCCTCACCTCTATCTCCTTCAAGCGCACATTTATTACCTCAACAAGCCAAACCGTCTACTATCCTCAAATATATCATCTTTATGCATCTTATTCTACTATTATAAGATGATGACGTGTAATCGCACGTAATTTGGGTAATGACTGGTCATTATCCAATGGAAATGACCGGTCATTGTCAAAATCATGTTAGAAAACATCATTTTATAAAACAAATAAAACATAATCTTATAAAACAATAATACACATCATTTTGTTTGGGCATTAGTAAAATTACCCACACTTGGTACCTTCCAAACAGTCTAAACGCCATCGGCTATCGGCTCGGTCGTGTTAGACCTTGTGTGGGTAATTTTTACTAATGCCCTCACTGATGTGTATTATTTGTATATTCAAATCATTTTTCATTTAAGTCTCTTTACTCTCTCTCTTGCCACCCCCCCCCCCCCCCCTTGCTCACATTCTCTCTCTTCCTCTCCTCTCTCTCTCTCTCTCTCTCTCTCTTGCTCTCATTCTCTTTCTTGCTTGCTCTTATTCTTTCTTCCTCTCCCCTCTCTCTTACTCTCTCTCTTGCTACCATTCTCTCTTGCTCTTTCTCTCATTCTCTCTCTCGCTCTCTCTCTCATTCTCTGTTCCTCTCCCTACCCCCCCCCCCCCCTTTGTATGTTTCCCTGCCCTCCTTCCATTTCTCCAGAAGCCTTTAACATCTAATGGATAATGGTATAATCACCTAATCAAGCAGCTTAAGAACAGCTGACGGAGTTCCATCCCACTTTAATGAGATTACACATACTAATGTGTTTTGCTTCATGAACTAAGTACTTCTAGACAAACACACATACATGCAGAAGCTATATATTTGTAGATAAAATATTATTTAATAAAGGCAAATGAATGGCAATGTACTCAATCGATTACATACTCATTATCCTGGTTTCTGAGCTACTTCTTACCTCAAATTTGCCGACAAATACCTTAAATCATCAAAAGATGTGGAAAACAATTCAGTTTGTTTAAATCTGTACAATTAATAAGCTTACCACAATCTGGAAAATTCTAGATCATACATTTGGCTTTTCTTCAGAATCAAATTAAAATGTTGGAAATAAAATTATGCATCAAAAGAATTAAGCTCCTAAACATGAAAATACTTTTGAAAGTTTAATGAAGGAGAGTATTATTACGATAAGACGGAAGGAAAAGACGATGATTGGCATCAGACAACAAAAAAAAAATTATGTGACATTTCCCCCCTTTAATGATATAATCCCTTTTCATTTCTTCTATTCGGGTAGTCCAGATTCTGTCCATTTTTATGTATTTTTATTTTTCATTCATCTTTGTCCTCCTTCCTTAGACGCATCCCATACAGCGCGGTGTCTCCACTAATCGCGTGATCCCCCCTCCCCCAAATACACCGGTCAAAACAATAGATAAGAATCTAAGGACTGTCTCCATTGTAGCACTGAGGGTGTCTTATTTTCTCAGCTGTCCAAGCAGTGAACTTCAGGATAAATAGGGGTTGTTTGCTACCCTCTAACATTTTGAATATGAAGGAAATCAAATTCCTGCCCCTCCCCCCCCCCCCCCCCAAAAAAAAAAGCTCTGTGTTAACAATTTATGTAACTGACCCTACCTGAAAGAAGTGTCGTGAAAGGGTATACTGACTGGCCTTCAAAAAGAATTTGCATACCATTTCAAGGAATAAAACAACCCCACAACTAAGTGAGACATTAAAATGATTAACGATTTTAGAGCATATGGGGAAACACTATTTCATATCAAGACCCACAAGAGTCTAACAAATTATATTGCATTTCAGAATCACACATCACCACTTTTTTGCTTTTTCGTTATGTCTCAACAGTTTGGCGCATCTTTTGATTTATCAAAGAAAGATACTGTAATAACAAAATCTGGTTGCGAACTGAATATTGGAATGAAAATTGTTGAATATGTTCTCTATAGTACTTGTACATGTACATACTTAAACATGCATACTTGTGCATACTTAAAACTTAAATAAACTTGAAAGAAACATCGAATCTACGCAATCTGCATCACTGTCTGCCCAGACATGCCCTACATAGCAACATCATAGATTTTTGAAGAAATCCCTGCATTCTTTGGCTTTGCTCATGGTAGTTGTGAAATGGAATTTATCTGCCAGGTCAGGTAAATAAATACCGTATGTACAGTGTATAATTAATCTACTAATATCTTTTTACTAAATTTAAAAAATCCAGCAAAAATGTCTAGTGTCTTATGTAAACTGGACGAATGTTTGTATTTTATGTAAAAAACAATTTAGAAAATGCACACTCATTTCTTTGAATTATTTCATTTTTTAAAAAAATCCATCTTCATGTATACTTTCAAGCCTTGATTACAATATGTTTGTCTAAATACTGTTCAGATAAAATTCCTCTGATAAAAGAAAAAATAATGAAAATTCTAATACAATAAGCTAAAAACACGGTAATCTATCCTTTATTTAAATGCTTATAAGGTTAATGCATAATCTTGCATAAAAATTCAATTCAAGCCTTCCTATGCTTTATCATCAGTAGAATTACACTTCTGTCCATATAAATCTGCATGCATAATATTATCAATAATCAAATAGGGATTTTAAAAAAAGGAGTTTCCTATTCTCCACCAGAACTTGCAGTCTGTGCTGAAACTAAAATGGGTCATTCCACAGATGTAATAAGGTAGAGCCTTTTTTTTCTCTCTCTCTCTCTCTCATTTTGTTGTTGCTTTGAAGACGTTCTTTTCTATAAATAATATTGTAACATTCTATGTCAATGTTCCATCTCTTCTTCTTCTTCTTCTTCTTCATCAGACGATGCTTCACTATCTATATCTCCGTCTTCTTCGTCCTCCTCTTCTTCCTCTTCTTTTCCTTGCCTTTCCATCCAATCATCCTGATCACCTTCCCCTGGGCCCAGTGATGTCAGAAGCTCATCTATATGTACCAAGACCTCCTCATCATCACAACTTAGAGCACAGTAGAGCTGCAAAGAAATCATAGTCATAGTTAGATTATCACATTCATTCATTCATGACTTTATCAATATTTTGAATATCATATTGTGAAAGGTGAGTCTCCAATGTTTCCATTCATATGTGTTTTGTTGGTGGCTCATATACTTTTTATGTGTCTTTTTCACCACTTTCAATCTTGTAAAGAGAAGTGTTTTATGTCCACTTTAATCACTTTTTTCTAACCACTTATTCTTGGAACTATCAATTAATGAAGGTATGCATGGTTTGCTCTACTATTCATTTATCTTTGATGAGCAAATTAATATTTCTTGAGTTACATAACTTTAAATATGACCATGCAATACCGCTCACTGCTTGCAGGACGAGTGTGCCATTTCAGGCACTGGAAATAAAATCGGCCCTTTTTGCTCATTTGCATACCACCTGCAGTCTTACTGGGTTCTATATATCTTAAGCCCCTGTGTACATTGTAATTGTTGAGGAGTGAAAGGGGAGGGGAGGGGAGGGGGAGGCTGTATGTATCATACCCTTGTAATATCAACAATGTTATAGCACACCCATCCCTCCCCTCCCCATTTTACTCATGACTCCAAACATGTTCAAATCAATACTTTAAAGATAATAGCTCACCTTCTTAGCTTTATGAAGGTAATACCTTGCTTGTGGTTTACATTGCTCTAGTCCTCTTTCATGCTGGACCAGGCCTAACATATACCAGACCTGGACTACTTCATCATCCTCTTCTAAAAGGGTATGAAGAACATTTTCTGATTCCTGTAACACAATTGAAGGAAGAAAACTTGAGCACAAACTGACCTACAATTTTTCTAATAATTCTACTTAAAGAGAAAAACTAATTTCACTGATATCAAAGAAATCTGACGAAAACTTTTGGGGAAATTATCTCCCTTGTATATCATGGGTTTGATGGACATCTTTATCCTCTACAAGCCAATGATGAAGATACCAAATAATTTTTTGTTTATATTGTGCATATTATATCCATTATGTTATGATATCTACAGTTGCTATGAATATATGTCTTTGTAAAATCTCAGCAAAGCAAATTTCCATTGGACAACATTCTTCTAACACAAACTATAATCATGGATGGGGAGGCACGATGGCTCATTGGTAGAGCAGTGGTCTGCGTCTGAAAACAAGTTGATGTGCTAGTGCCCTTTGGAAAGGCATTAATCCTCATTACCAAGTCCCTCGGAGAGGATTTAAAAGCCGTCGGTCCCCTGGTTGCTTACTTACAAGCATACACATGCTTACTTAGCAGTCAGGTCAAACAAACGGACAAACAAACAATCAAACTTGATAACTTACATCCCACATCTCCAGTTCCATAAGAATCTTGGCTGCTCCTATCCTGTTCTCATAGCTCAAGATAGGCTCAACTATGATGTCATCATTAGAACCACCTCCTTCTCCATCTCCTTCTAGATACTGCCATAGCGATAAACTCTTCTTCATGGAAGCTATGGCTTCCTATAGAACATCAATTTCAAAATATTTTAGATTTAGGATTTATTTACTTTTTATTCCATAAGAATAAGTTAATACATTTTCCAACCCTTGCAAAGGTGAACTAGATATGTGTACTAATCTACATATTGTTCAGCTACCAGTATCAAGGGAAACAAAAAATGTGGTCATTGTAGACAGGTGGTTACTAAAGCAGGTTTGACTGTACCAGTATTAGCAGGAAACTTGTGAATACACTCAAAATTGGTTTGAATTATTGTCAAGTTTACTAAAAAATTCAGGTTTTATTTTTTATAGTATAATAATATAGTAATAATAATAAGTAATTACGAATTATTCTTTACAAAAACATAACTGTAACATTCAAATAGACAAACTTTCCTCTCTATGAAAGAGTAGATAATATAGGCTATAAATATGTGAGAGTACTGTAAACAAACACAGAGTTCACTGGTGTCAGGAATGAATGATTAATCTACTTAGAGACAACATTAAAAATAAATTGTATGAGGAATAGCACTTCTGTGTAGTAACATTGCTACTAAATGAAGTCTTCTCAAAGCCTCTCTCTGTATTAACTGCTTTGTAAAGACCGGGCTATCGTAACAAATTCAGCTAGCAGCTTGATGCGTTTTGTCAGTCACCTGTTTATTATCTTTACTAAGCCAGTAGCTAGCTAGGAGTTGATGTGCCTCCGGACTGTGAGGGTCTTCATTGACGGCCTGATCAATAGCTGCCTTACATCTCTCATCGGAGTCTTCTTCAAAGCTAAACAACAATAAACAAACAACATTAAACAAATAACAATAAAATGGAAACAAGACTCACTTTAATTCAGAATTTACTGCTGTTGTGTTTTCACTGTTTTCTTGATTTTGTCTTTGCCGAATGAACATCCATAATAATAACAATCTGAATTTGTAAAGTGCTTAATATTGTATACCGTACCTTCTCTAAGAGCTTTAAAGATATTATTATCCTGGTCAATAATAATATCTGACAGGAGGCGCAATGGCTCAGTAGTAGAGCGGACTTAAAGCCATTGGTCCCCTGGTTGCTTATTTACACGCATACACATGCTTTCTTAGCAGTCAAGTAAAAAAAAATAATAATAAAAAAAAAAAATCAAAAATTACTTACCAAGCATCTGTCAGGAAGATTTCAGCAATAGAACAGTACGCTCTACATATATCAGCATTGGTAACCTTTGAAGCACTGCTCTCTGAGGAACATGATGCGCCACTTTCTTCTTTCTGATAATTTAAATTTATACAACTCACATTAAGCGCCACTTTATTACATGATTTTTGTTATTGTCTATTTCATCCTAATAGCTCTTGAAATAGTATGCTATTACTATACAAGAGCTTTAATTATGAACATACGATTACTTGTTTTGTATTTTTTGTTTATTGTATTATTTTGGTACCTTGAATTGGTTTGATATGAAATACCTTTTTCAACAACGGACTTTCAGTTGAAAGTGTGTTGTATTTTCATCGAGATCTATAAAGAAACGCTTAGGATTTAAACACAAATTTTAAGCACTTTGTGATGCATAGACAAATTTATTTTCAGTCCAAAGAAACACCTCAAAATATCTACACATCCAGCACTTTAAAATGAATTGACACACATTTCAAAAGACCCTTTCAAATATCAAGTGGTTAACTTTTGAAGGCAAGAAAGTGTTGTGAATTTGAATAGCAGTGTAGATTTGTGTATTAAAGTTTGCAAGTTGCCAAATTGTGTTGTCATGAAAACGGCCCTCATCAATTGATGGCAAAAGTTTAATGTCCTTTTTCTCTGGTTTTACAGTGCTCAGTGTACATTGTGAGTGGCTCACCTGTTCTCCATCTCTTTCTTTAATCATCAGCTCGACACCTTTCTGGAAGAATTGAAGCCCTTCTAATCCTTCGTGTAGCTGACCCATGTACATGTACTTAGAGAAACCTTCTTCAGGACATACTGTTATTGCACGGCCAAAGCAGTACATTTATCATAGTCAAGGAATCTTATAATATACATGTACATGCATGTGCAGTACATAAATAACTTTTTTTACCCCTGTAATAATAAATTAATAATGTTACATTTATAAAGTGCATTTTCATAAAAGGGATAGAGCAACGTCGATCTGGCGCTGCTCAGTAGCTGCCGGGCTCACGATCAATTGGGCAAAAAGAATTTCCATTTTCGGTTTAATAAAATTTGGAGTGGACTTTAAAAGATTATTATTATTATTATTATTATTATTATTATTATTATTATAAGAAACAAAGTACATAAAAAAGAAGTACTTACAAACAAAAGAAGAAAGATAACATTATGATATGAAGATGGAACTGCCTGAATACTTTGCTCTCTCTTATCCAAACAAAGATTCATTAGACATTCAACGAAGAGGCTGACAGTATTACCTCACCAGCCAGGCTCTAATATCCTTTGGCATGACATCAATCTGCACTCGCTACACACCATCCAGATGACGGAACTGGGAATATGGAAGAAGGATATTTCCTTAGCAGCTTGGCTAATGTCATGGTAATAATGATGTAGCTTGCAAAGCACAGTAAATTACACAGTAACTGTGCAATGTAATTTTATTGTCGCTTCCTCGGTAAGGTCATTGACTGTCTAAGTAACAATAAAAATTGTCAACTATTTGTTGACCCCTGGAAGAAGCAATCATACAGGCAGGTCACTATCGATTATAAATAATAATGTTAATTCTAAAATAATTCTCTTTCCAAAAAGCCCAGTTTGGTATTAATGACTAGAATTACACAACAGTAATCCTAAAACAGGTAAGGGGTGATTCCAAAGGCAATGATTCCTGTACAACGTATGACTTTAATCAATTTTCTTTCATCCATTACCATTATTCAGTGGTCAAATAAATGAAACTTCTCAAATATATGGACAAAAGACATACGTATAATTGTATGGGATACTTTGTACGGAATCGCTCTAAAGTGAGATAGTTATAAAGAGGATATTTTCCTTGCTCCGTCTGTATCACCAAGCTCTGCCAACAGGTTTCCAGATGACTCCAAAGCTCGCACGTTGTCAGGTTCCATCTGTAGCGCCCTCTGGCAGAACTTCTGAGCCATCTCATACTCAAAGGTATCCAGGTATTCATCTACCTGGTTGGTAAGGTCATCAAGGAATACAGTGTGAGCAAAACAATTAATACAATAACTCTAATATTAATTGAAAATTTGTTTAAAGGTGGTGGTTATTTTACCTGATTGCTAAGAAAGCATAAATGCTTGTAAGTAAGCAACCAGACGGCTGACGGCTTTAGGTCCTCTCTGAGGGACCTGGTAATAAGGATTAATGCCTTAAGGTGGGGGGGGGGGGACCAGATTCAATACTAATTAAATCCAAGTATATCCTCTACTACATCAAAGCAATTAATCTACTAATCTACCCAAGTAGCTGACCATTGATGAATGGACTGGTAATCTCACCTTTTCAAGCAGTTGATCTATACTGAATTGACTGGAGGTTTTCTTAGTTGCTTTCTTCTCCTGCCTTCTTTGCTCCACCAAATCTTGAAATTCTTGTCTGCTCATTGATGTTCCATCCTCTGTTACCATGAAAACAGAACCAGAAAGGAAAGGAAAAATAAAGTTGAGGTTGGAATTTTAGATTCCACTCATACAAAATTACAATTATAAAGCAATGTCACTGTAAGTATCCAAATTAATTTGGATACTAAGCACTCCTACAAAGTCAAAGTTATGTGGGATATCCTTGTACTCCACACAGGATATCATAGATCAAACCCACACCAGTTAGAACTAGTGGTCGAAATGCATATCAACTACTAGGGGCTCCCAATGCATTAGGAAAGGCATTGATCTATTACATGTACAGAATAAAGGAAGGGGGGAATAAACATTTGAAATATAAGCTTACTCACAAATTTAACTCTCGCAAATCACAATATTAACTTTAATGGTCGTTAGAAAGAACTTCTGATTTTATCAGTTATAATCCAAGGTTGAAAATATTGTCTGAAATATATGAAGGAATCCCAGCTGATATTATTAACCCTCGTGTGTTGTTTTTCCAGCGATAGTGCTGGAACAATTGGCCACAAAAATCTTGGACTCTATTTAATTGCACACCCAAAAATTCAGGAAGTATATTAAGGCGTACACCAGTGGCGGATCCAGGGGGGGGGGGGGGGCAGTACCGTAAAAACACATTAATTTTACCTTTATTTTGAGGGGAAATCGTTTGTTATTGCTCCTAACCCTCTCTCTCCCTCCCCCCCCCCCCCCCCCCCTCCCCGGCCCGCTTCTTATTCATCGGCTGGCTGAGTCGACGCTAAAATATTTCAAAAAACAAATTGGCCAAAAAAAAAAAAAAAATCTCGAATTGGGAACCCTCTTTGACCCCCTCCCCTGTCGCCTACTGGATCCGCACCTGGTGTACACACAGTGATAGTGTTTGCTGAATTTAGCTAAGCGCTTTCATTGTAAAGTAGTCTAGCCTACGGAAGTTACTAAGTATCAAATTGGCAACACAAAACAGGTTTGTTTGTTTTATAACATCGCATCCTCCCATGAAAGATCATTGTTTCTGTAATGTTAATCACATGTTAGCTCATTATCATCAGGAACACTTGGACGGTAAAAAAAACTCACTCTCACTCAGAAATCAAATGTTCGCATTTTGTGATAAATTCAGTCACTGACGTAAATGTCAACACATGGGACTAGAACATACATTTTCAGTAAATTCAAAGCGTTTATCCATAAAAACAACAATATCACTTACCATTTTTTCTTGATTTTGTGTTACTATGCTTTCCCCTCTTTCGCCTTTGTGCCTTAGAACCCCCCATGGTGTGTAGGAAGATGATAATCAATCGCCAATTCTATATGTATTTTCAGTTCAGCATGTGAATTCTACTAAATTATAGTATCTCCAAAACGGCCAATTGAAAAGGAAAAAAGAAAAATGGCACGTCTCGGTTGACGGTAAATTATGCCACTGGAGTAAGAGACTAGATTTGAATATTTTTAAAGCTATCGTATGACATTGTAACTAGATAATGACCTAAATCATTTCAAAGCCCAAATGTTGCTCTTTACTCTCATGTATGTGGTGTGCCGAATCTTTGTGTCTACCTTTCTTTGTTTCATATTGACATTGAGACTCAAACCGGCATTTTGGAGCTCTAATTCGAACATTACGCTAAGAAGTTAATTTTAAAGCAGTTTAAAACTATCGTATGACATTTCAATTAAATAATGACCTATATCATATAAAATCTTAATACTCTCTGATGTATGTGACATTCTGACGGTTTTTGTCTGGGTCTTACTGTTTTAGAAACTAGGGCTCAAACCGGCATGGGAATCCCTCTAGTTCGCATATTACACGAGGAAATGACAAAATTCGACAAAATTCGGACTAGGCTATTTTAAAACTATTTTTTGACGTTTCAATTAAGTGATGAACTGGCATCATTTCAAACGGTAATTTAAAGCTGAAAAGTTATTCTTTAATCTCATTTATGTCACATTCCAAAAGTTTTGGGCTACGTCTTATTGTTTTAGATTTAAATTAAGGCTCAAAACGGCAAATAGCAGCCAGCTATAGCCAGGGCTTATCCGCAAAATACATATTATATACAATAATTCGTTTTCAAATTTGGATGCTTTTAAACTATGGTATAACATTTAAAACTATCGTATGACATTTCAACTATTTTAAAGCTGAAAAGTTATTCTTAAATCTCATTTATGTCTCATTTTGAAAAAATTTGGCTGGGTCTTGTTGTTTTAGATTTAAATTTAAGGCTCAAAACGGCATATATTATATTAGCAGCCAGCCAGGGCTTATATCCGCAGAATACATTTATACAAAAATTCGTTTTCAAATTTGAATGCTTTAAAAACTATGATATGATATTTCATTTAAATGACAGCCTTTACCATTTTAAGCTGAAATGTTGCCGAAAGGTTTTGTATGGTTCTTATTAGGTTAGTATTTCATATTGAAGTTGAGGCTCAAATTGGCATAGGGGAACTTTAAGTCCGCACATTATAGGAATTGGACGAAATTCGTTTTTAACTTCTAATGCTTTTATAACATGCCGAAAGGTTTTGTATGGTTCTTATTAGGTTAGTATTTCATATTGAAGTCGAGGCTCAAATTGGCATAGGGGAACTTTAAGTCCGCAAATTATAGGAATTGGACGAAATTCGTTTTTAACTTCTAATGCTTTTATAACATGCCGAAAGGTTTTGTATGGTTCTTATTAGGTTAGTATTTCATATTGAAGTCGAGGCTCAAATTGGCATAGGGGAACTTTAAGTCCGCACATTATAGGAATTGGACGAAATTCGTTTTTAACTTCTAATGCTTTTATAACAATGACAATCCAACTGAATAACGGCCTTCATCATTTTAAGGCTGAAAGGTTGCCCTTTAATCTCATACATACTATGTCACATGCCAAAAGTTTATGTCAGTGTTTTATAATTATCATTGTTACAGATTGAAATTAGGGCTCAAATCGGCATACCATATAGGGCTTAATATTATCTGCTCAATAAATACGACCAATACGTACATGATGTCCGAAGTGCGTTTTCAAATATGAATGCTTCTAAAACTATCATTTGACATTTCATCTAAATGGCCTAAACAAATTTAAAGCTGAGAACGTGTTCGTTAATCTCATATTATATGTCACAGGCCGACAGTTTTTGTACTGTTTCAGATTGAACAATTCATTGTAGATCAATTTAATGTTCAATGTCACAACATATTTCTCCCTATATCCTAGTGTCCTCCTTTTGTTGGTCTGACTAGAGCAACTGATCGAATACACCCTAATTTGATTAAATCACAAGTTCATACGGCAGATCATTATTTAATTTTGTATACGCCTACCTCTCAAACTTTTAAAGTTTTAATTCATTGCTTGGTTATCGATAATAATCAGTTATAGCAGCAAACCCCACGCTGTCAAGTCTTCGTGCTTCGCGCTCGCAGTTTCCGCAAAAAGTTTACACCCCCCCCCCCCCCCCTCTCTCTCTCTCTCTTTGGAAAATCCTGGATCCGCCCCTGAGTAGATGTGGACCTGTTATACAGAGATTGTGCAAATATCTCACTGAAACCAAGCCGGTGCCGAAAATTCCCTCTATGGCTGGACGCAGGCGCGTACACAGGTGGGGGGAGGGGGGGGGGGGGTTAACCCCCCCCTTTGGTAATTTTTTGTGTGTAAACCCCCCCTAAATTTCCCTAAACCCCCCCCCCCCTTTGGATTTTTTTTTTTTTTTTTTTTTTAATTAAAAAAAAAAAAAAAAAAAATCCCATGACCGACCTCAAAAGATGACCTTACCCCCCCCCCCCCACTGAGCGACTTTTCGGTTAGCTGAGTCGTTGCGATCTTTTTTTGGACTACCAAAAAAAAAAAAAAAAGTGTCCGCTTTACCCCCCCCCCCCCCCCCCCCCCCCCCCCCCCCCCCCCCACTGAGCGAATTTTCGGCCGGCGCGATTTTCAAATTTCCGAGAGCAAAATATTTTGGGCCAGATTTTAAACCCCCCCCCCCCCCTTGAAAAAATCCTGCGTACGCCCCTGGCTGGACGGATGCAGAATTAGAGGAGTTAATTGAACCCGACCCCTAACTTTGTGCGCCCAAAAGGCCAAACATATTTAATGACTTGAATCGAGTTGATGATGAAGCGAATTAATTGTTTGTCCATGATGAGACTATAAACGGAGCTATATTAGACATTGGTATACCCTAGTACAATGTGATTTCATTATGAGGGAAGATTTATATTATACCCCCCTCTCTTTACATGGTCCAAGATACTGCTTTAATAGCATCATATAATTTGCAGTTGGTGCGATAGTTTGCATACTTATTTGCAAGCGAGCAAAAATGTAAAGATGTGTGAGGTTGCAATGCGATATAGAGGAAAAAACAATCCTCAAGAGGTTAAAAGCACAATCTAATCGTGAAAGACTGCAAATACCTTTTATAAGTAAAATAGTCAAATCAAATCAACTATAAATTTGAGTGAGCGTAACGAGTGAGCTTGGGGGGGGGGGTTGTGCTTATAATTGCTTGGGGAACTTGTTATGAATAAAGTAAAAGGTCGGGGCACTTATCAGAAAGAAGAAGCTCTTAAAGTCTTAATGAAAAGGAAATGGGCACTTATTAGAAGGAAAAAAGCACTTATTAGAAAGGAAAAGGGGCACGTGTAAAAATAAAAGGGGGCACTCGATCATCAGAGATGAAAGGGAGCACTTATCAGAAGGGAAAGGGGCACTTATTACAAAGAAAACTGGGCACTTGTCGAAGAAGAGGGGGCACTGAACAGATTCGAATGGGGAAATTATCAGAAATGAAAGGGGACTTTTTTGGCATTTTGCATTTATTTACTGTATAGTGAAAGGTTTGATAAGAATTAGGTTTCGCACGTAGACCCCTATACTCACTATCAAAAATTAAAAGAGACGAGAATTAAGGGGCACTTATGAGAATGGAAAAGGGATAGTTCTTGCAAAGGAAAAAGGGGCAACCGTCGAAGGATCAAGGGGCACCTATCAGATTTGAATTGGGGGCAATTACTAGAGTTATATATAAGTGGCACTTACCATTTATTACATGCCGTCTTGATCAATGCAACAGCCTTCTTTATGGCCTTCCGGAGTCGCACATTGCAAAACTCCAGAGAATCCAAAACTCTGCTGCCAGGCTTGTAACACGCACACGTTCTTGTGAACACATCACCCCAGTACTTCGCGAATTGCATTGGTTGCCGGTGACGTACCGCATTATGTACAAAATCTTAGTTTTAACTTATAAATGCATTCATGAATTGGCACCAATTTATCTGCAAGAATTAATCGAGGAATACAAACCCTCACGCAATTTACGGTCATCTTCACAATTAAACCTCGTATCTACTTCTGTGTCTACTCTCTCTTATGGTAATCGCTCCTTTCGCAAAGCTTCTGCTGAACTTTGGAACAAATTACCTTTAAATGTAAAAAACTGTCAAACCGTTAACCTATTCAAAACTAGTCTCAAGACACATTTATTCAAGATTGCGTTCGATGATTAATTATCTCTGTTCACTTTGATGTGTATTCCATATGTATTGTTATTTGTAGGTTTATTTGCATTTTTAGTTTTGTATAAGATGCAATTGTATATCAGTCTATTTTGTGTATAGCGCTTAGAGACTTCGGTGGTAAGCGCTTTATAAGTAACGTTTTTATTATTATTATTATTATCACAGGTGGTAAGTGACATTTATATAAATTGTTGATGTAGAAGTGGAACTTTGGGGCACTAACAAGTGGGGCACTGTGCCCCCACCCACCGGGAGTGCCGCCTATGTTGGATGAAATGAAGGGCCCCTGATTATTTACTTAAAAGCATACATATGCTTTTTTTCAATAATAATAGCAGGGAATAAGCAGGCAGGTAAAATAAACCGTCAAACCCAAACCAAACCAAACCAAAAGCCTGCACGCGGTGGCCTGTACTAAAGAAGAAAGTAGGTAATTGCCCCTTTGGCGTTCCATAGTGAGATCTTCATTTAACATCTCCGTAGTTACGACACGCCGGGGAGCTGGGGAGTAGAACTTTAGAACGAGAGTTTTAGTTTGTCTCAAAAACTGGACCGAAACAGTCTATCTATTCTAGGACTACATAGAGTCTCGCCAGTTAATTTGTAAGTCAGATCATTTGCTTGTAACAGACCTAACTAACCGTTTTTGTAAGTTAAAGTAGGGTACGGTACGTGTCTGATCGCGCACTCGATTTTGTGTGATAAAATCCTTCCCATAGAGATTGCACGCATCCCTGTACGGTCCCCTATGTGGTCTACGTGCATTGCGCGATCTAGACCGAAAACTTCAGTCTCTCTAATCGTCGGTTGTTCCACTGAGACTACGTCTGGCTCCACTAGACCTCCGATTATAGAGACTGAAGATTGTCCTATCGGTACTGTACGGAACCAATGGTTCGGTTCGGCAGGACCGCGATGAATGAGATATGCTACGAGATTTTCACTCTTTACATCCTCACACAAGCTGCAATAGGGTCTATGACAATAATTAGAGTCTAATTAAAAATAACATATATAGATAGCTTATTTGACTTACGATAGCTTGCTCATTTAGATCCTAAATTAATGATTAATCCGAGAAAGTCTCGTCGTCAACATTATCCGTCTTGGTTTTAGTTGATGAATATTAATTTTTTCTTTTCGAACGTCCAATACTACCGTAGCTACATACGAGTCGGCCCGGCTTGACCAACGAACTCCCACGAAACGAGTGCTCTGATTGGCCATTGGCTATGTTTTGGTAGGTGGACCCGGAAATATATCGGCCGCCGGGTAATATTTCGAATGCATGAACGTACTGCTTCGCGGTTCTGAGGTACAAATTGGATAATTCATATAGATTTCTAAGTAAGTCCGTAAATTATTTATTTAATATTGAGTTATCAAATTTTGATAACTGTAATTAGGACAAATGACATATCGAGCTAATTTACATCTGATTTAGAAATCAGGAAATTAGATCTAAATAAAGAATATCGGGGGAGAAATGTCGGTAACGAAAAGCTGTTACGCTGTGGCTCTAATTTACCCCCACGGTACGAGATCTCTGGGTTGCCATCTGTATTGGGGAATGACAACAAATGTCAGTTTTATTAAAGAAATGACCCAAATCAGATGGTTATTGCTGTCTATGCGCGATCATGCAAAATTGGTCAATGTTTTTATTATCAAATCGAGATTCAAACCTTTATTACTCGTGATTCTGAAGGTGATACTCAATAAATGAGGTGTCATATGAAAGAGCAGGTTTTTCTCCATATTCCAAAAGGGATGTCATCTCATAATTTGTAGTAGTACGCTCATTTGGGCTAAAGGGGGCGCTAGAGCCATATAAGAGCCGAGCTGGGTTGATTAATTGTATTCACCTAAAAGTTAAATAACATTAATTATGTTTCCAATAGTATGCCGGGAACGGGTAAACAACCCCTGGGTTTGAATTCTTGCATTAGATTAAAGTGTTCATTTCGAAAAGCACGTTGGAAATGAATTCCTGCATCAAGATGTACAGGTGTTCATTTCCAATAACAAGTTAGACAATAGACTGTTTTGCCGGGGACGCGACATTCTCGCGAAGAGATAGACTCCTCCCATTTCTGTCGGTGACTAGATCAGATAACACTCATCTATTATGCTTTGTCATTGGTTATAATTAATTAAAGGTATAACTCCTCTCTTAATTGGTCGGATGACCTAAAGGGTAATTGGATATATCCCGTCTTGTAATTGGTTGGCTTCGTAAGAGCCCTCCTGGTTGGCTGGCAATATCATGTAATATCTAAGCCTCATCGGGTGCCACGGTATTTAAATGCGAGGTGCGGGATTTTGAAGGGAGTTTTTAGTTGATATTATTTGAAAGTAGATATTATTTGAGAGTTTATTTCATTCCGTTATCATGTTTAGGATGTGCTGCTAGTTTACTGTCCAAATAGGGCCGCCCAGCCTCTGAGAGAAGCAGTTTATTTACCATGTTCAAATAATAATAATACTCGTCGTTTGCAACGATTGAAGCTTCGGCTGAATAAAGTGGACTTCAACTGTAATTCCGAGCTTCCTGTGTTTATTTATGTTTAAACTTGTCATCTTCAACTCATTTACTGGCCCACCACATTTGGTAGTACGGATGGGGTCAGCTTTCTTTAGTTAACGGCGAAGTTTGCCGTTGGCTTGCTAGCGGTTACCGCTGGTTCGTCGTGCCGACCCACCACTCGAACTCGATATCATTTGCTCGGAACACAGAAGTATTTTTGAGTTGCTGCTGCTGAACTGTTTTTCACCGGTGGAGTTAGCGACAGATTATCGTGGCGCTTATTGCAGGGCATGTTTTTTTATGTGGCTCCAGCGGAGTAGTCCAGTACGAATAGGGCCAACAGGTAATTGGAGGCCCTTCTTGGAACACATTGCACATTCTTCTCGGTGAATGTGATTGGGATCACCACGGAGAGAGAAGTTTCCCCGAGACCCCCCTCTTACCTGTTACCAACACGTCCGCGATGATGTGCCTTCCGTGATGTCCAGAACGTTTGGTATATACTAACGAAAAAATTGTTTAGTCGACTGCCCCACCAGAAATATTCTGCAAACCATTTCTGCGTGGGCGATCTGATACGTATTACCTAATGGAGGTTCCCCGTACAGGAGTTACTCAAAGTCTGGCTGATTCCTCCGGACCTGGTTTGTCAGCTGGCCTGGCACCCGAAGTACGCGCGTATCGGGAAGCTCGCGGGGGAAACCAGTTACGCCGATGCCTCGTCACGATACTCAACCCTGCTAGTAGCGTGGACGCAATTGAAGGAGATGTTCTGATACTTCGATTGTTGAGCTGAACTTGGGTTTTTTGGTCTGCAACGCCAAGTTCGTAGGGAGCAACCTTCGGCGGGAGACAAGTTGAGATAAGGAGTCAAGTTGAGCTGAGGTATGTTTTGAAACCAAAGATGTTGGCAGAAGTTGCAAAGTGGACAGTGAGAACTGAAATGAACTGATAAATTGAAACGTCCTTTGAATCTTGATATTTTTGGATTGATGTCTTAGATTTTTTGAAATTATTGTAGTGTAAGACTAAGTGTTGGAATATTGTGTGTTGGTGAAATTATTTGTACCCGTTTGCTCTTCAAATTTTGGCTAGCATTAATGTAAGCATAGGATAGTTAATTTAAACTTAAACCTACGTTTAACCTAAATTAGTATAATATAAGCACTTAATATTAATAGTTTCATAATGATTGAAATGGAAAAGTTAGTAACCGGGCTAACCCAAGCTTTACAGGGTTGTAGGTTTACTACATCCGGTCCAGTAAAATTACGCAAATTTCATGGTAGTTCTTCTCGGCCCGATGACCCGACTTTAAAGGAATGGCTAGAAGACGTAGAATTTTATTTTGATCAAGCACATATTCCAGAAAGCCAACAACCTTCCGTTATTCTCGCCCACTTAGAAGGGTCTGCCAGGGCTGAGATTAGGTGTCATTCGGGAATCGAAAAAGATAGAAAGAAATTGATTCAGATATTGGAACAGTATTTTGGCCCCAGAGAAACTGTCCAATCTTTACAACAGGCATTTTACGATAGGGTGCAACAAGATAATGAATCTTTGGTCGAGTTCTCACGAGAACTTATTCAATTATACGACCGTGCGGTTGATAAAGCTTCTAAAACAGAGGCACAAGCTCTCAAGGTTTTGCGAGATAAGTCATTGATAGGGCAATTTGTTGCGGGAACCAAACACCCAAGTTTTCGTTTAGAATTAAAACGAATACAAATGAGTTCGGAAGAACAATCCTTTGAAGATATGAGGGAGGTGGCTTTGGGGTTGTTGGGTGAATTCGAGACTCCTAAGGGTAGGAGGGGAGTGGTCAGAGAACTTCACCTTGGTTCCATTTTAGAAGATCAGAGCCAAGCACCACAAGGTGCAAGTGGAGATAACTTGGCCATTAAACTCCTATCAGCAATGGAAAAATTGCAACAAAGTTTAGATCAATTGTTGCGTCAGAATTCCTCCACTTCCCAATCTCCACCCAATTACCTTCCAAATAACACATCTCAATCTCAATTAAGCAAGGGTGCTTGCTGGCGTTGTGGGGGGTTTGGTCATTGTGCGAGATCCTGTTCAGTAATTGTAGAGAAAAGAGTTAGCCGAAGCCGATGGCAGGGAAAGGGTCGTTCTCGGCCACTACCAGGGGCCAGGTAAAAATTTGGAAGAAAATGAAGTATGTGTTTAAAGTAAATTGATAAAGAAAAGTCCCAAGGCTACTGTTTTGTTAGCCAATACTCCTTGTGAGTGCATTTTGAACTCCTAAGGGTAGGGTGGGAGTACTTGTAGTTAGGTCATTGGAGGAAAAGTTTGGTATTTTAATTCTCTTTTGCGACTAAAAAGGCATTGAGAATTCGGTAATAAAATATAAATGTTTTAAATGTTTGCTAACATTCAAATTCATATAGAGGCTGGGCGCTCCTTGGGAGAAGATGTATATTAAAGATGTTTCGTTTATTAATTTGCTAAGTTAGCTGCACCGTTGATTCAATTCAACTAATTCTCCCTTTAGTAAAAGGACAAAAAAGAAGGGAAAACTATTTAAGCTTGAGTGGATTATTCTAACGAATGATTCATTTAATTTACTCAAAGAAGTTGATTCAGGCACCAGTTAGTTATCCGGGTTTTTCATAGGGTTTTGTTTTTAGAAGTTGATACAACTGCCTAAAGGTTAGGGCCTTGCCTATCACAAGTAGGGGAGGATAGAAGGCGTCATTATTTAGCATATGCTAATAGACCATTGAAACATACAGAAGAAAAATGGACAGTAGTGGATAATTTAGAGATCACTTATTTGGAGCCCCGTTTGTTATATTTACTGATAACGATTCGTTAGCTTATTTATAAAATGCTTAACTAGGAGTTAGGATGAATTCAGGGTTGAATGTTTTGGAGAGGGGGGTTATCCTCTGATATGATACGATCCTGTCTCATAATGTTGGTATATAGTGGGCATGATATCTGGGTATGATATTTTGCTGAATTCTGCATTATTTCAATGTTTCGAAATTTATAAATGCAAATATGTTGGTGCTTTAACTTGTTAGGTTTGTTTACACGCATTTAATATTGTAAAGATGGAAGGTGACATCATACGGAGTGCGCTGTGGAGGTCTTGGGAAATCCAGTTCCATTAGTTGTCCTGTATGTTTTTCCTGATATCATTCATATCTTTGCGAGGTACAAAATTATTGTTACCAGGTGATTTAACTTTTTTTTTAAGAAGCCATCCTGTGCCAAGTTGGCACTTAATATTTGTTTGGTAACTGTATATATAAAAAAAGATAAAATTAAACAGTTGGAGTCTACATTAAGTAGATATTAAATAGTACATTATGTGACAAAATAGATTTGTCTGAGTTTTATAATGTTAGTTGGAAGTAGATTCGATGAGATAATTATAGACTGCTGGTTGTTGCGACTGGGGATTTTGAGATAATTATGATACATGTGCAGGTGTTTAGTCTTGCTTCCAGTGAGATGTTTGGTTTTCATGGTGACGATGTTGATTGTTCAGTTGAACTTTTTCTCATGGGGGTTTGAGGAAAGAATGGAATTAAGGAATATATGCATGTAGGTTGTTTGTAATGTGATTAACTGTTATCTATAGCTTTGGGTATCATATGCTGTTGGTTGTGTTATATTATTTATTATTACAATTACCAGTTGACCTGGCACGATATCATTGTGTTGTCATTTTCGTGGTTATACCCTTCCATGTTTGGGAGCAGTTAAAATCAAGGGATGATGTTTATGCCTGGCTTTGATTTGGGGGTCTAGGGTTATCCAGCTCCAAAGAAGAGGAAGGGCATGACGTCATCCTGACATTATATTCTGTTGGTTGGTTATACATGGTGGGCAGGACATTGCATTCGTGGGTCTTTCTGGTTAATTGGTTGTAAAATAAATAAATTTAGATATTGTTGTATAATGTGATTATGCATGGGTAATGAGTGTTTGACATTGCAAGGAGAATGTTAACTGTAATTCATTTAAAGTACATTTTTAAGTCAAAGTGTTGGTTAATGCAGCCCAAATATGCTGTATTGATAGTATATTGACAAAATTATGCTTTAAAGCAACACAAATATGTATTGCTTGATTAAATGATTCCCAGTTGGTAATCTAGTATTTTATCTTAATTTTGTACGATCTCCAGGTGCAAGATCGTTTTAGTAGGGGAGATTTGTAGTAGTACGCTCATTTGGGCTAAAGGGGGCGCTAGAGCCATATAAGAGCCGAGCTGGGTTGATTAATTGTATTCACCTAAAAGTTAAATAACATTAATTATGTTTCCAATAGTATGCCGGGAACGGGTAAACAACCCCTGGGTTTGAATTCTTGCATTAGATTAAAGTGTTCATTTCGAAAAGCACGTTGGAAATGAATTCCTGCATCAAGATGTACAGGTGTTCATTTCCAATAACAAGTTAGACAATAGACTGTTTTGCCGGGGACGCGACATTCTCGCGAAGAGATAGACTCCTCCCATTTCTGTCGGTGACTAGATCAGATAACACTCATCTATTATGCTTTGTCATTGGTTATAATTAATTAAAGGTATAACTCCTCTCTTAATTGGTCGGATGACCTAAAGGGTAATTGGATATATCCCGTCTTGTAATTGGTTGGCTTCGTAAGAGCCCTCCTGGTTGGCTGGCAATATCATGTAATATCTAAGCCTCATCGGGTGCCACGGTATTTAAATGCGAGGTGCGGGATTTTGAAGGGAGTTTTTAGTTGATATTATTTGAAAGTAGATATTATTTGAGAGTTTATTTCATTCCGTTATCATGTTTAGGATGTGCTGCTAGTTTACTGTCCAAATAGGGCCGCCCAGCCTCTGAGAGAAGCAGTTTATTTACCATGTTCAAATAATAATAATACTCGTCGTTTGCAACGATTGAAGCTTCGGCTGATATATATATTTAATAAAGTGGACTTCAACTGTAATTCCGAGCTTCCTGTGTTTATTTATGGTTAAACTTGTCATCTTCAACTCATTTACTGGCCCACCACAATTCTAAAATATCTTGGTCAAAACAGTGATTTTAAATGTTGTGTCCAGATTCGTAGCCCCGAGATTTACCACTTTGGAGAAACGACGCCCCGAGGCTTAGCTTAAGTTGGGTCAGGTGTAAGGAATATATCCATGCGCTTATTTTTTCTGATCATTTTTTTCGCTAGCCCCAAGGTATCACAAGCCATTACAGTTCTTCTTCTTCTTCAAGATAATCTGCCTCTTCAATACTGAAGATTATTGCAGATGCCGTATAGAGTAAAGGAGCCTGTAATCGGCCAGCTCCCGTTTTCGGCCGATTGGTTGGATGCAAGGTAAAATCACTCTAAAATACATCGCATAATAGCATAACACATATCCCACTCATACCATACCATGCCAGTGTCACTGAAGAACCACATTTGCAATGAAAAATATATCCTATAATATCACATTTTAGCGATGTAATCGGCGGTCCCGCTACCCGAATCTGAAAAATCGAGTATCTTACGCGTGTATGTAAGAAATATGGGTACCATAAAAATCAGCTCTATTTCAAGTATTTTTCAGATTTAGAGCCCGATTTTGTGTTAGTCGCAAGCTCAAAAGTATCTCATCGCAGCCGGACCCTGCCACGCACACACGATATGTCTGTCTAATTCAGATTCAAACTTCCGATCAGCGCTGTGCCTGTCTTCGGCCAGGCGAGCACCAGGGAGCTCTGGCGTGGGATACCTGCTCCGCCCGCTTGTGCTGTACATCAGCGCGGAAACACACGGCGCGCGCGAGCGCTTCCTATTGACTTTGTACATGCGGCCGTAAACTGAAACGCTCGGCCGATAACTGGCTCCAAAACAGTGAAAATTGAAATGAATATTGTCATGGCAATTCGTGATTTTTTTCTGGGATTCTTTTTTTGTTTAAATAATAATAATATTTGCTTCATGATTTGAACAAAAAATGATAATAAATAGGAAGTAAAGGGTCCTAAAAAAGGATTTTGTCTTAAGTGGCCGAAAACGGGCTCCTTTACTCTACTCGGCCTGGTTGGAGTGTGCAGGTGGACATTACACCGGGGTTTCCCCCTACTCTTATACGAATAGTGCAATGGGTTCTTAATGTGCAAGGGTGGTGACTCTCCTGTACACAGGGCCTCCATTTAACGTCCTATCCGAGGGACGGAGTGTTTTCCACTTGACATAACCTACGTCTATGAACAAGGGAAGGGGCACGTTAACACACAACGCAGACTTCAGTCATCCGCCTGGGTGGGAGTCGAACCCATAGTGACATGAATATGTATTTTACGCTCGATGCAAAACAATCTTTGTGCATGTTACCCATGTTGCAAGCCTTCGTACACATAGCCCTGCGTGTGTACATTTGGATGGCACGTGCATGTGTATGCATCCGAACCGCGTGTGTGTTTGTGAATTGGCAAACGGAACGGCACACGGAAGACAACGGGCGTGTACGCTTGCATATCGGGCAATGCAGAGCTCTGTTCCAGAACTAAACCTTTTCTTTAAATGATTTATGCCCATCTAGATCTTGACAATGGCGATTAGGAGTGTACCCTGGCAGAGGTCTGTTTCTGATGCGGTGTCTTGGCACCAGGACCAGGCTCTGTCGGCAACTATTTACATCCTCAGAGAAACGGGTCCAACAGGATTCCTGCTTAAGGAGGAAGGAGAGTCCAAGAAGGTCAAGGTATACTAGGAGAGATTGATTTCACTGATCGAACATAAGCAGAAGTAATATTCTATCTGATGCCATCCATCCTTTTATAATGATAAATCTTAAAAACAAGATTAGACCTGGAATTTTTGCCTTACAGTTTGTTGATATATTACAGGGCAGTCCAACTTGAACCTTTTTAATGAGCTCTATTGTTTGAAAGCAGAAATATAAGATGAATAGAGTGGCAAAAGTTTGAAATAAATAGGACCAAACTACATATAAATGTAGATGTATGACAAGGCTTATTTTAAACATATGCTAAATTCATTAATCATTCTTCACTAGCCGTTTTCTCTGCATTTTTTGCTTTTGCTTTAACTTTAAATCTCCCTCTATGATGATTATCTTCTTGTAGGTGCTTCTTGGAGATCCTCATAAGTGTACCTGTTCTGTGTTCAAGAAGGAGAAGGAGCCGTGCAAGCATATTTGTTGGTGAGTTCTTACAATGGATTAAAAAGTACATAATGTGGCATAACTATTCTACTAGTTTCAAATGCACGTATGGTATGCTTCTTAAGAGGATTTTCAAAGTATATGATGTACATGTAGTTATACTTGGTGCCATTGATTAGGAGAGTCTGGTCTACCTGGTTCGAGTGGGGCATAAGGTAGCAATACTACTTTGTTGGGTAGCACTAAACAAAAGAATATATGCCATGTTGTGACCAACTGAAACCAAGATGGCCTGAGTCTGTATTAGATGATTCTGGTTATATACAATGATTTTTAGTAAAAAAGAGAAAATGTCAAACTTCCATGGAATATTAATTTCTTTCAGATGATAAAAATGAAAGTCACTATGATCTAAGGTATTAAATTCTAATGGAGATTTCAATTACATCTTAATAATATGAAATGAAAGTTCAGTTTATGAATTTGATAACTTGTAGATAAAGGTATCATTAATGATTCTATTTGTTTATCCTGTGTTTTCACATTTAAATTATTCTCAAGAAAAATATATTAAAATGTGCTTTGATTTAATTCCTTTTTATTTCTTTTTCCATTAAAGGGTACTACTGAAGAAGTTTCGTCTGGACAGGAATAATGAATGTAAGTCCTAAAGTGAAAGCTATCATTGTAGCCATCAAATATAATAGTAAAACTGTTACTAAAAATTGAAAATTGCATTTAAAGTTCTTGCAAAGATTTATGAAAAATACAAGCCTCCAAGCAGTGCTATAGTAGACATTCTGCATCATATATGAGGTACAAAGCATATTTCATAACAACAGAAGCATACTATGGATGTCTACACAGGTTGCACCAAAAGTTAGCAGATGCCAGCTTTTGTGTTAAGATTGTCTATGGATTCTAAAATGTAGTGTGTTATAACCACAGTTCAAACTTGAATATCTAAACTTCTCTGCCAAGTTTAGTTGAGGACCAGAGGAAAAGGATGTAGGATATACCTTATAACATATTCAATTCATTATCATTTTAACTAGTCGAGATCTTGAGATAAATGAATCTAGATACATTAATCATGTTTTATTGAGGACATTCAATTTATTATCGATGACAGCAAGGCCAAATGGAACAAGAGATGAATTATTGTATTCATAACAACTTATTTCAAATAAGACTAGAAATATTAAGATTAAGATGATGTATTTCTTCCTTGTGATTACATTTAATTCAGTATCATATCAACGAGGCTTTGTGGAGCGTGAGATCAATGATGTTCTGAGAGGCCTTGCAAAGAAAGAGGATCCGCGGAGAAGAGCAGTTGCAGCTCGGATCGCAAGGAATGCTGCTAAGGGGGATACAACTTACCACCATACAGATGGTAGGGAAGCACTACAACAGAGAGAGATCACTGAAGAGGATGTCTGCCCTATTTGCCAAGATGAACTTCTCGGAAACAGAGAGCCGGTCACATATTGCAGGTCTGTGTTGTAGAGCTGTATTTCAAGGGTTCAGTGACACAAAGATGTAACTCCATATTTTGCCAAAATGAGTATTTGATATAAAAATGTTCAGAAAAATGTGGGCTTTCCAGTAAACACAGAAACTTAATTCCAACACCCCATTAAAGTCAATGGCTAATGAAACATAAACTTAACTCCTTAAGGCCCAAATGCTCAGTGACACATAAACCACTTTTTCTCAAAATGGCCAAAATGGAGTTACGTCTTTGTGTCACTGACCCCTCAATTTGTTAGTAATTTTCTAAACTGGTTAACATAAACACTGGGCAGTTCATCTTCAAAGAATTATCTTTTGGAATGATGTAACAGTCGAAGCTGTCTTTAGTGGCCAGCTCTTTATAAAAGCAACCTGTGTATCTTGGCCATGTGTTAAGTCTCCCTCAAGAAAGATATGTGTGTTTTAGAACCTGTCTAGAAAGGCTACCTGCCTACAGTGGCCACCTTTTCTGTTTCCCTTGAGTGACCTTAATAGACAAGTTTTACTTTACATTGTAACCTCCACAAATGAGCCCAAAGGGAATTTATCATTGTTTCAGGTAATATAAAATCACTATTTTGACATTATTTTTCTGTTTTGTTCAAATTAATTCAGTATATTTATAACAACTGTGACATTTTCCTGCAATATGTTGATCCCAACACAGGTTTGGTTGTGCTAAGAGCATTCACATTAAATGCATGAAGGTATGGGCTGACCATCAGAAGTCCACTGGGGAGACTGTCTTGAAGTGCCCCCTCTGCAGGGAGGATTTCGGTCAGATAGACACCCTGGAGGCTGAGTATCGTAATGCGGCTTTACAGAAGACGAGAGCAGAGCATGCAGATATTCACATGGGCAAGTCGTGTGATGCTTGTAACCAGTCACCCATCTCCGGCAAGTGCTACAAGTAAGTCTATGTATTCCAACCCAATCTAGGAATTTATAAAGTGCCAACATCAAGTTGCCTATAATCAAAGGCGCTGATGAGACTGAAAAACTACAAAAAATGTCTTTTTATAATGCTAATTTGGAAAGACAAAAGAGAAGTGACTAATTGTAAGTAATGTAAAATAGGTATGTCTTTAGTTGAGTTCTGAAAGTGGATAACTGGTGACAAGAGCGAAGGATTTGGGGAAGACCATTCCACAATCTTGATCCCCTAGAAGATCCCGTATGTATTCTGATAGGAATTAGAGTGTTGGCCCCTTTGGTATATAGAATGAGGTAGTCAAACTAGATATCTGATTTGTAATACTTGAAAATTAGAGAACTGGGCACCATCTTATGAAATTATCATTTGACACCAAATTTGTTATCCAGAAAATTACTTAAGATTGCACTAAGTAAGTTTGAATAGAATTGTATGAAAAACTTTGGGGTTGTTCAATCACACCATATATTCTACTAACATATTCAAAAATTTACCAGTATGCATAATGTTGAAAGCTGGCCAGAGGCTTGCCCAGCATAGCAACAAGTAATGTGTGCAGACTAGCTTCCAATTATTGTTGTTCATTCAATTATAACAGGTTAATGGAAGAACTCGTCACTAGAGTATATGGGTCCTCAGGAAAGAAACATCAATAAATTTGATATGTTAGTGTGAGGGTATCGACTCGAAGTCATAAATGAGACGAAGCAGTTGTTGCGGTTCTATTGGGTGTGAGGCCAATCTTTATTATTACGATGTTCAACTAAACAAAAGAGGGTAGAAGACCCTTGACTGCATGAAGTCACTTCAGTTGATATTAAGGTGTCCAAAACCAACTATAGACATCAAGAATATCAGGATGAGACATCAATTACAGCTTCATGTACATGTAGTAGGCACAGCTACAACCAGTCTCATCTCTGCTCATCACTGCATGTATGAGCTTTAACCTGCATGCAGTGAGTGTATGTCCACTGGGGCATATCACTCTTCTTTAGTTAGGTACATTCCTTTTACCCCTGACTAATTTGCATTATAAAGAAAGAGCTATTTCTCATTCCCTCACAATCTCCCCTGCTAAAATTAAAGTTTGTCCTCAAACTTGACATAAGTATAATGATAATATATAACTTAAACAAAACTCATGAGCACTAATTTAGATTTCCATATAGTTGCATACTAGGTACCAAGATACATGTACAGCATAAATTTGTCCTTGTCTCAAAATAAACACACAGTATATACTTCCCCAGATATACATACAAAATTATTCTCCTCCCCAAATCCCAACTTTAAATACATTTCTTTCCTATACTTGTATGAAAAGAGCAAAAACTATAATTAATGTGTGTGTGTTCACAAACACATATCATCAATCAATATTCCCAATGTTTTCTTCAATAATATCGATTAAAGTTTTATGTTCACGAACGCATATATTGTCCACAAGATTCCAACTTCTTTCTCCAATAATAGTTCTATATCCGGTAGTAAGAGTTGCTATTAATATGACGTAGAGGTTTCATCCCAATGTAACTCGCGATTAATACCACTTTGGAGTCTGTCAATCAAAACTCCACTGTGTTCGTTCTGTGCACTTGGCTTTACTCTGGCATTACCATCAATGAAGTTAGCTGTCGCTGCAGACCGAGGTAGACGGAGAGGATTGCTGTGTTTCCCTTTAGTCGGCCTCAGGCTTCGACGTGGAAGTGGGGAAAGGGGGTCATCATCATCACTAATTTCTGGTGTAGACGGGGAGGGGGAATCGTCCTCATCACTGGACTCTGGTTCAGGGGTCCAGACATGTACTTCAGGCTGTTCGTTAGTGGACTCGGCTGGTAGATCCCTTACCACTCTTGCAATGGCTGAGCTGGAGTCATCAGAAATGCTATCAGTCTGCTCTTGGGGGGAATTGCGTGTTCTCCCCTGTCTGGTTTTGGGAATGACAGGGTCAGATTGTTCCCTGACTGGGCACACCTTTAGCTCCCTTCGGTTGACAGTCCGTGGACCACCACTTCCATCTGCTTTCTCAATAGCATAGACTGCTCCCTCTCCTGGTCGGGATACAACCTTGTATACTGTTGATTGCCACCCATCAGCAATTTTATGTCTACCTTGAGGATGGCTCTTAAGGTACACTCTGGTGCCAACTGTCAGTGGTCTCTCTTTGGCAGATTTGTCGTAGCGTGCCTTGCGATAAGATGCATCATGTTCAAGTCTCTCCCCTGCTTTTTGGTAAGCCCATTGTAGAACCTTGGTGTGGTTAGTCAGCCAGTCATTCACATTAAAAGTGTCGTGTTGCGACTCTTCACCCAGTAGAAAGTCAACTGGAAGTTTGGGATCCCTCCCAAACATGATGTAGAAGGGGGCAAAACCAGTTGAGGCATGCTGGGTTGCATTGTAGGCATAGAGTACTTCTGGAAGAAATTCTGACCATCGACGTTTCTTTTCGGGAGGGAGTGTCTTTAGCAAATCATGTAATGTTCTGTTGAACCTCTCGGCTTGCCCGTTACCCTCTGGGTGGTAGGGTGTGGTATGCGATTTGTGGACTCCGTACTGTCGACACAAGGATTGAATAAGCGACGACTCAAAATTACGCCCCTGGTCTGAATGAAGTCGATGTGGCACACCAAACTTGCTAAACCATTCTCTTACCAGCACCTTTGCAGTGGTTTCAGCTGTTTGATTCCTAGTAGCGACTGCCAATGAATATTTAGAAAAAGCATCCGTCATGACGAGAACATTTTCCTTGCCTGTTGAGTCCGGTTCAAGCATAGTAAAGTCGACAGCCAGCAATTCATTTGGGCGAGTTGCTTTCAATCCCCTCATGGGTTCTCGGATCTTCGGTGGATTTTTAGCCTTTGCACATCTATCACATTGATGACACCAATCTTTGATGTGCATCGTCATCCTTGGCCAGTAACAACGACTCCTTACTATGCTTGTAGTCCTCTTCACAGCTTGATGTCCTGTCTGGTCATGGCAAGCCTTCAGAACATCCTTGATGAGCACTCTGGGTAAAAGTAGCTGCCAAACATTTTCCATGGCACAGACTCTGTACAAGAGACCATCCCTTTCTCTTATCTTCTCCATTTGACGCAAGAGAAGTACGACACTTTCATCCTCTCTAGCCCTCTGTTCTCTGTTTGGCTTTTCTTTTGTCTCCCAGTAGTATCTGAATTTGCTGATGGTTGGGTCTCGAAGCTGAAATTCCTGTAACTGTTCCCTTGAATAATTTGGAAATGGGGCAGGTGTACGAGAAGGTTCCTCATTATCCTGCATTTTCCCCTCGTCTTGGATAGATTGGGAATAGGCATGAGTGTGCTGGAGTTCCTCCGGCAACCGAGTAGCTCCCACTACCATACAACATCCATCAGAAGTATATGTCGCCTCTTCTGCAGTGTCAGGCGACGCATAGGGACGACGAGATAATCCATCAGCTACCTTGTTTGCTGCTCCAGGTTTGTATTGTACATCAAAGTTGAATGCAGAGAGGGCGCCAACCCATCGCTGTTCTACAGCCCCAAGTTTTGCCGTGTTAAGATGAGCCAGAGGGTTATTGTCTGTGAACACCGTAAACGTACTCCCGATAAGATAGTCTCTGAATTTCTCTGAGATTGCCCATTTCATCCCCAGTAGTTCAAGCTTCATACTGGAGTACCTTTCCATGTTCTTCTCTGCACCTCTGAGCGTTCGACTGGCATAAGCAATTACCAGACGCTTACCACCTTGCCTCTGGAAAAGAACAGCCCCAAGTCCCTGTAGACTTGCATCAACCTCGAGCTCAAATGGTTCTGCGAAGTCTGCATAGCCAAGCACTGGCGGTTGACATAGTTTCTCTTTGAGTTCCTCAAATGCCGCCTGATGTTCTGGTTCCCATGCAAAGGGTGTTGTTTTTCCTTCCTTCCTCCTCTCAACTTGGATGGCAACCAGACTGTGCAAGGGGCCAGCAGTCTGTGAAAATCCCTTCACAAATCGTCGATAGAAAGAGCAGAACCCTAGAAAAGAGCGTAGCTCTTTCAGATTTCTTGGTGTTGGCCAGCTCCTTACCACCTCTATCTTGCCTGGATCTGTCTGCACGCCCTCTCTGGAAACTTTATGGCCCAAATACCTCACTTCTGGACGGAAAAGTTCACATTTTGAGGGCTTGATCTTTAGTCCGTGCTCACGAAGCCTGTCAAATACACGGTCTAGTCTCTCGAGCTGTTCTTCAAAAGTAGACGAATACACTAAAATGTCGTCCAAATAGCACAAGACAGACGAGAAGAACTGGTCCCCTAGGCAAATTTGCATAAGACGCTGGAATGTTCCTGGCGCATTGCACAATCCAAAAGGCATACGTACATATTCGTATAAGCCGAAGGGTGTTGTGAAGCTTGTCTTGTGCTGGTCCCTCTCATCCATAGCCACTTGGTGATAGCCTGACAAGAGATCAAGTGTCGAAAACCATTGTGCGCCATGTAATGCATCCATCGATTCGTCAATCCTTGGTATTGGATAGGCATCTTTCCTAGTCTTCTGATTCAATTTGCGGTAGTCCACACATAGCCTCAATGAACCATCTTTCTTCCGAACCAATACAATTGGTGATGCATAAGGGCTTGTACTTTCCTTGATAACCTTTTTCTCCAGTAGCTTTCGGATATGCTCTCTAACTTCTTCCAGCTGGGATGGAGGGATACGTCTGTAAGGAAGCTTAACAGGCTCCTCGTCTACTGTTCTGATACGGTGGGTTACCGTTTCCGTGTGGCCCAAGTCCTCTTCTGAGGCAGCAAAGACATCACTATTTCGTAACAACAGGGCTTCTGCTTGTTGTCTCTGCTCCTCACTCAGTCCTTGCCATAGTAGTCCAGGTGTCTCTAGCAGTTTCATTCTACCTGTATCAGCTTGTTGGTCCCCACTTGCAACCATTCTTTGACACAGGACACTATTGTCATCGATCATCGATGCAAGTTGAAGAGATCCAATTGGAGTTCTGGTGTTTAAGAAGATATCCTCATCTGTGGTATTGTATAATTGTACAGTTATTCTTCCCCTACACGAATGAGCCAGCGTCGGACTGAGGATGATTCCCTTCGGAGTTTGCACAATTTGGTCCACAATTACCGCAGTTTGGGTAGGACAAGTGGGTCCTGTCACCTCTATAGCTTGTACTGATCGAGCTGGGATTCTCACTTTCCCTCTTCCAGCTACACGAACAAGGCCCACAGTACTGTTCTTGTCGATCAAATTCTTGCTTGTGACAACCGACGCATCAGCTCCAATTACGGTTGCTAAGGTCTCAACTGGCAATCCTTGTAGAACATTCATTCCAAGCAGAATGGGATGTTTTGGTTTATGTGTTGTATTTGTTACTAGAATACCTCTTTCCGGAACTGTAATGCCAGCAATAGTCACATCAGCCTCAAAATATCCAGAGTAAGGAATATCTGTCCCATTTGCTGCACTAAGAGAAATCCAGTTTAAGTCCTTCAGGGTCGATGGCGGAAATGATCGCTGGAAACAATCGGAAGTGATGGTTGTGACTTGAGACCCACAGTCTACCACACTAGTGAGTTCCATCCCATTAATAGCTATGACGCTCGTGGGGCAAATACCAATGAGCTTGTCTTGCTCTCCATTTCTAGAGCCCCTTCCAAATATCTCTGAGGAGGCACCCAGGGCTTGGCTCTCAGCCCTGGGTGTATTCAGTTTCCCTGTTGCTGTTGCTGACTGTTTGACTGTCCAGCCCTCTGTGTACGTGGATTGCCCCCAGGATGAGGACTCTCACACTCCCTTGCATAATGTCCCATGCGGTGGCACCGATGGCACTCAATCTTACTCTTGTCTAGAGGGGGTCTCCTGGCACTCCTGGCATTGTCCTGTCTCTCCTCTAACTGACTAAGACGAGAGTTGAAAATGCCCTGCTGTGCTATCATCTTGTCAAGTACCTCTGTTTGGCCTTTGATCGCTGCAGTGAGCCCCTCTACCATCTTTCCCATCTGTGCTGTGGCTTCGGCCTGGTAGGTGGTGCATTTCTTTTTGCGTGGATTGATGCCCTTAAGTTCTTCCTCATCCATCTCCACTGCCCAGTCTCGTACCTCTAAGAAAGACAATTCTGGCTTTTCTTTATACAATCGCTTCACTTCCCTCCTGAGTACTGGGTCACTCAATCCATCTTTAAACTGTTCTTTGATGACAATCTTTGACTCAGGAGCTTCTGGTTTGCGTTGTAATCTAGTTGCCAATGCAAGTAAGGCATATGCGTACTGTGTCACAGACTCATCTTCATTTTGTACTCGGTTATATATCTGCCGCATCAGTTGACTAGCATTCAGCTTGTCCCCAAAAGCTTCCAATAAGATGTTCATTATTGACTCAGCATCCTTCTTTTCTCTATCTTGGCGATGTTGCACCTCCTGCCTTGCAGATCCTTCCAAGTGAGCTAGCACGTAGTCAATGGCACTCTCACCCGTCAGCTTTCGAAGTTTAATTCCTGCCCTAATGTCCTCCACAAAATCTAAGACCAGCATGTTTTCAGTGCCACTAAAGGGCCTGAATTTCTTTTCCTTGGGAGGGAAATACACTTCCCGACTTTTCAGCTCCAATGACAGCTTTTCCAGCTCTTCCCTCATCTCTTCCATGGTCGTCATCTTCCTACCATCTCTTGTCTTGTACTCCTTGCTAGCTACACACCTGGCCAAGCCAATAGTTCTCAGTTATCTGAAGAGAAACCGCACCCCATCCGTACTACCAAATGTGAGGGTATCGACTCGAAGTCATAAATGAGACGAAGCAGTTGTTGCGGTTCTATTGGGTGTGAGGCCAATCTTTATTATTACGATGTTCAACTAAACAAAAGAGGGTAGAAGACCCTTGACTGCATGAAGTCACTTCAGTTGATATTAAGGTGTCCAAAACCAACTATAGACATCAAGAATATCAGGATGAGACATCAATTACAGCTTCATGTACATGTAGTAGGCACAGCTACAACCAGTCTCATCTCTGCTCATCACTGCATGTATGAGCTTTAACCTGCATGCAGTGAGTGTATGTCCACTGGGGCATATCACTCTTCTTTAGTTAGGTACATTCCTTTTACCCCTGACTAATTTGCATTATAAAGAAAGAGCTATTTCTCATTCCCTCACATTAGTAAACTGTTGGAAGTCTAGAAAACACCAATCTGTGAACATCTTTAAATCTAAACTGAAAGCACATCTTTTCAATTAACTGTAAATCTAAGCATATCAGGAGCTCTTGTAGCGCAGTAGAATATATACTTAATGTTGGAAAGTTTCTGCGCTCTATAAATGTATTATTATTATTATTTAACTATTTTTGTATATATTTTTTCAGATGCTCAGGATGTACGGACCTCTTCTTGTGTCAGAACTGCTTCGTATCTAACATCCATTCACAGCACTCGTTCCAGTTTAGACAGGTAAGTCGGCCATTATAAACTGATCAAGATAGCTAGGAGTTTCTCATGGCTCAGCCTCCATCCATGTTTGGAATGTTGATTCATGAACCAGTGTAATTAAAAGATTGTTGCCGATTAAAGGATGAGAAAGTACTTTATTATAGACTTCTAGAATACTGTGAACTGCTATGGGTTGACCAGGAGGATGTTGGTCATTGTTCTTCACAAAGAGGGAGGGGACCCGGCCCTTATAAAGAATTATATATGTCAGAATGATTCAGAATAAGTAAAGGAGAGCTGAGGTTTTTGTTTCCAGTTCATGGTAACTGTGCCATGGACCAGTGATGGCCTGGTGGTAGAGTTGCTACCCCCCCCCCCCCCCCCAAGCAGTAGACAGCAAGTTCAAATCCTGCTGGTTCCAAGATTCTTTTTCTGACCCTTTTTCAATAACAAAATTAGCATACAATCTTCATACTGGATGCAAGCTAAACATTTCTTTACAACATTTGAAACTTCTCCCAGGAAGCCTAACATTCAAATGTATGTTCTCGCTTTACTCATCTCTATAGAAAAGCAACCAGAGATGGCGCCCTGCACAGAGAGGATCGGGAGGCGCCCTGCCGTCCGCGGTCATGTCAGATTTAGAGAACAGAGACATCACAGATGAGGATTATGATACTCTGCTACAGCTTGACAAGTTAGTTTGTTTTTCTCTCACTTTCCTTTCTCTCTCTTGCACGTACTTTGCTAACTATACAGTCAAACCTGTATATTAATTAGGCCACCCAAGGGAAATAGAAAAAGTGGCCACTGTAGAAAGATGGCCTTTTTAGCCAGGTTCTATACAACTCAATCGATCAACAGATTGATAAGCCATGCAATTTTTATGCCTCCGCCACCGAAGGTGGTGCCGGAGGCATCATGTTTTCGGGTTGTCCGTCCGTACGTCCGTCCGTCCGTACGTCCGTCCCGTTTGACCGTTATCACAATATCTCAAGAACCATTTAAGATTTAAACTTAAGACTCGGGAATAGTATGTATCACCATAGGAAGACGATCTGATTAGATTTTGGAGTACGTAGGTCAAAGGTCACAGGTCACAGAGGTCAACTTATGAAATTCCTTGTATTGAGTTTGTTAGCGCGATATCTCAAGAACCATTTGAGATTTAAACTTCAAACTTAAGGATAGTATGTATCACCATAGGAAGACGATCTGATCAGATTTTGGAGCACGTATGTCAAAGGTCAAGGGTCACAGAGGAATGAAATTCCATACATTGAGATTGTTATCATGATATCTCAAGAACCACTGGAGATTTAAACTTCAAACTTAGTGATAGTGTGTATCACTATAGGAAAACAATCTGATTACATTTTGGAGCACGTAGGTCAAAGGTCAAGGGTCATAGAGGTCAACTTATGAAATTCCATACTTTGAGATTGTTATCATGATATCTCAAGAACCACTGGAGATGTAAAAACTTCAAACTTAAGGATAGTATGTATCACCATAGGAAGACGATCTGATTAGATTTTGGAGCATGTAGGTCAAAGGTCAAGGGTCACAGAGGTCAACTTATGAAATTCCATACATTGAGATTGTTATCATAATATCTCAAGAACCACTGGAGATTTAAACTTCAAACTTAATGATAGTGTGTATCACCATAGGAAGACAATCTGATTAGATTTTGGAGCACGTAGGTCAAAGGTCAAGGGTCACAGAGGTCAACTTATGAATTCCATACATTGAGATCATTATCGCGATATCTCAAGAACCACTGGAGAATTTTCACTTCAAACTTAATGATAGTATATATCACCATATCATAATATCTCAAGAACCACTAGAGATTTAAACTTCAAACTTAATGATAGTGTGTATCACCATAGGAAGACAATCTGAGTAGATTTTGGAGCACGTAGGTCAAAGGTCAAGGGTCACAGAGGTCAACTTATGAAATTCCATACATTGAGATTGTTATCATGATATCTCAAGAACCACTGGAGATTTAAACTCCAAACTTGTTTAAATTGCTCTATGGCGGAGGCATCATTTTCGACTGCACGCAGTCAAAATTCCATCTAGTTTCATAATTTTTTCCATTAGGTTGGGGAAACACCTCATATAACAATATTGGTTTGTTTGATTTTATTTCTGCATTTTCAACATAATAAAACGTAATATACAAACCAGGTACATTATTAAAAAAATTAAAACAACAAATATAATCATATCATAATATAAATCAATTCAGCTCAGCTCAGTTCAGTTCAGTTTATTTAAAAAACACCAGACATAGTAATCATGGCGAACAAACATGATGCAAATTGGGATCCCAAAAAGCTATGCTTGTGAGTGGGACCCCTGGGAAGGATGGACCTCTCGATCCCGGCAGATCGGCAAAGAGACCAACGTGTTTTAAGGATCTGCACAATTCTAAACATGGTTAAATAATTAAATAATTATACCTTCCAAGAAAAAAATAGTTGGCAAATCATTTCAAAATTGAAAATGCAGGAGTCTGCCATCTTAAGCAAGCTAGAGCTGATGATACCCTCATATTAATGTGTAATTGCGTCTATCTATTTTGTTTTGCAGTGCAGCCTCCAACCAGATGAGCAATGTCCCTGAGCACGTGGTGAAGTCCTTCCATGTAGAGACAGTGCGAGACGGTAGCAACCTACTCTCCTTAGGCACACAGTGTAGGGTGTGCTTGAGAGCGTATGCCATGGGACAACTGGTTAAAAAGCTTCCATGCAGGCACAAGGTACAGACAAACTACAACCGATGGATTTTATATTAGTGTACAGATTTGATTTTCATGATCCTCTAATTTCTAAACTTTGTTTAACCCTTCAAATACTGAGGATTGGTATTTCAGCCAGCCTTCATAAATATGGGAATTTTTTATATTTTTTAGTCAAGCTGGTCCAAATAGCATTTTGGGTTTGTAACTTACAGAATAATATTAGTATTTTGCAGCATTTTTTGCCCATAATGCACATGGATATGATCCTTTAAACAACACACTAAAAGTTTAGGAAAGTCAACAAAAAGTTTAAAGTAGTCAAATTTGTTTAATATGCAATTTAGCACTTTTTATTAGTAATTTCGATTTCTACTTTCTTCATGAATTTGCATCAAGTACCCCATTGAAACACTTTTAGAACTCAACCTGATGTTTTAATGATTTTTAATATGTACGTGCCATTAGCCATAGAAGGGAAATTCATATTTTTCATAAATTTGTATTGATTCACCTGATTGAAAATGTGTAAGTGTTTAAAATTTAATAAATTGATGGACACATTGTGATAGAGCTGTCTTTGTCTGTTTTGTATCTTGGTCACAGTTCCATGCAGAATGCATAGACCAGTGGTTGCTGCATGAGCACCCAACATGCCCTATAGATGGTACGGTGGTCTGGAACCCCATCACAGCACAAACCAGGCAGAGCAAGAAAACTAAGAAAGCCAACCAGGGGAACGAGGATGGGACACAAGGAGAGGTTCCTAGCCTAGGCCTGCAGATAGGTCCAGGTGCAGGAGTGGTCAGACTCCAAGGGAGAGATGCAGCTGGAAGACAAAAAGGCAGGCCTGGGCATGGTCAGGACAGGAATCCTACAGACGCTGGACTTACAGCAGACTTTCAGCTAACAGGCTCCTCCTTTATATCAAAGCCCATCCTACCAAACAGGTACACACAATTAACTCGTGTTATATTGTAGAACAGCATCTAAGGAACTAACAGTTCAACAAGCTCTGCTTCTAGCTAGTTCCTCTTTTCTCATGCTTTTTCTATTGTATTTGTTGTTTCATTGCATATTTTTGTAATATAATTATTCATTGTATTATGTTTTGCATGAGAAAAAACTCAACATTATTATTTTATTTAATTAATTAATTTATTTTTATTTATTTATTTATTTATTTATTTTTGTTTTTGTTTTTGTTTTTGTTTTTGTTTTTGTTTTTGTTTTGGGGGGTGTCGGGTTGTTTTGTTGGCAGGCTACACTGTTGATTGTTTGATATGGTATCCAAGAGAAAATCAGTAAAAGACATCGTGGGATACAGTCTATATGGTATATACATGAATATGTCATGCATTTTCCCTTTAAGACGTTATCATTCAAACAAGACTTGGCGGATACCTCTGAATTTCACACAAAAGTTATTTATTAACAAGAGGCACAATCCCTTCTAGGTAAATTCATTCACATCTTTGCGGTTCAGAGACTAGGGATTTGCTCGGGGGAGGGGGGGGGGTTGTGTTTTCTTAGAAGCATGAAAAGACCCTTATTGTACATTTATAGTGGGTAATCATTACTTTTAGCCCACTAGCTAGGGTTCCACATGCAAGCACACAGAGTTCTATGTGAAAGTCTCTCATAATTTATCTTGAAGGTCAACCCCCGATCGACATAGAGGTCTTCCATCACAACACTCTGATCCAACGGACCCTGCTCTTCTGCAGAGACTGCATTCACATGAAGACATTATTGACTCCAGCTCACCTTCAAGTTACCATCCATCTTCCCAAAGGAGTGACTTCAATGGACCAACCAATCAGAAGGGCGTGGTTAGACACAGACCTCCCGCACGACCTCTGACCTTGGACAGAAATAGAACTCATGTTGCCTCCATTCCCCTGCAAAGGGAAGAGGCTAATATGACCCCTGTTGGAGGTCACGGCAGCAGCAATGCATCACCTCTCTCAGTCCCTAGGCTTCCTCTAGACAATGGTGTTAGCTCGCCCCATGAAAGTGTCAGGGAGAGGGGACGATTGGGGCAGAAAACTGCAGAGGTAAATAGAAGAAGAGCTAGGAGCCTTGGTATCGGCAGGAATCAATCTTCGTCCAGAGAACGGTCACACCTCCAGCCAGACAATAAGCCACAGGTAAACTCCTTGATTTATATCCAGTCCATTTTAATATTATCAGCAGAAAAAAATAACAGAGGTCATTTTTTAGAGGCATGAGCAGAACACCCCCCCCCCCCCCCCCCACCTCTGGGGGTAAAAATGCCATATCTCCCTTATACTTCCCTTTTTAAGTTGGCTTACTCAGGTTAAGGACGCTTTATCTTAATCACTACAAGCCATTACTAGTCTGTTGACATTAGGTAAAAAACGGTTGTTTGTGAGAATTTTTGGAAACGTACACTTTTGGAGAGATAATTTTATACCTAAGACTCTGAATATTGTTTCAATTTCAATTTTAAAATGGGACTAAAGTTACTTTCCATGCATTTTAAGAATGGTGATTTTGGTCTTTTTAATGTTGTTTTCTCTATTATTTTTAAACAGTTCTAAACTGCAACAGGTATATGCATTCCTAATCTTTGTATATGATATTAAAGCTGATATTAATGAAGAAATAATGCAGAAAAATACATATTTATAACTTTTGTGGACCTTTAAGATATTCATTTTAAAGCGGGACTGCACTACTTGTAGCTATACTTGTGCCCTCTATATAGCCAACAATTCGCCCGTTAATCCTCCATGGTCCCCTTCCTCTTATGTTAATTGAGAGCTGATTTGATGAGATTACCATCTGTCAGTGACCTTGCCGGTAGGTCTAATTCCTTCTGGCCAAATTAGTGCAGACGGGCTTTTAAGCTGATTTTAATGAAGAAATAAAGCAGAAAACTGAGACATATTTAAAACTATTATGGACCTTTTAACATATTCATTTTAAACACCTTCCTAATGTAATACATTGTATTTTGCAGAGTGCAGAAAGCCTCTTCCTGGGTTCAACCAGTGGACAACTCATCGGATCTTCCAAATCACCTTCATCGAACGGCGTGGGCAGCGGCCATCATCCCAGGTCAAAGGTCAAACCACTATTGACCAACCACAGGCATCCTAGCTCTAGCAGAGATCATTCAGTGGACCTCGCTCTTGCTGGCAACGCCATGAACAGTCTTAACCTACACGGCTTTAATGATTAACTATAACCAATCAAAATGCCTCAAGGATTATATTTGGCAAGATTCACAGTATACATGCAGTGATGCCAGTCTTCAGGCTTTTGCCTGATTTCAGGCCCTGACAACTTCCCATTTCAGGCTTTATATTGTACAGCACATATGGGGCTGTAACGTGTTCTGGCTTCTTTTCAGGCCCAGTGAGTAAAACTGACTGGCATCCCTGAGTATAGCACTTTGGTTGGCTTACTTCGTTTCAACGGGTCATCGCGTACGGTGTCGGGTGGTCGCGTTACCCGACCTGTCGTGAAAACATGCTCCTGTATTCATAAAATGCTGGGTGAATGAATGTTTGTGAAATGAACCCCTCTCATCTAAAAATGGTCTGGTCCAATTCACCTGATACCTTGTGAAAACCCTACAACGTATCTATGAAAGGTCCGGTCCTCAATGTGCATCTTTCCATGATCTTCCGTTTTCTTTTCACGATAGGTTGTGTATAGCGACCACCTGACCAGACAATATGACCTGATGATTCGTAGTAAGCCCTTCGGTTTATTAAGCAAAAGCAATGAAATATATGTTTGTGGCATTTTTGAAGTTGAGAGTTTTGAGAGATATTTATAATATCAGAAGTGCAGTTATTGATTCAAGCAGCATAAAATGAATGTAAACCTAGCTTGTCCAGATTCCCATTTAAAAGTTATAACCTGTGTGCCCTTAAATTGTATTTCATTTTAAAGAGTAACTAATATTCTGTCTAATGATACCTTATTTGTAACTCTGTTGCAATGGATGACTGAGCAGTAGTAGCCTTTTCAAAAGGTGATTGGACTGAAGCAATGGATGTGGGTCATAAGCCCTTATTCAATGTATGAATAAAGGTATCACAGAAAACAATTTACTCTTTACAATTGACTAAATTTCAAGGTCGTATTAATTACGACATTTAATTTTATGCTACTTAAAGTTGGGTACACTTTTTACACACTGCTCAAGCCATCATACATTTTAAGGACTATATATATATATAGATTTCAAATGCTTATGAAATTATATTTTGAAACTGTACTGTTTGAACAAAAACATAATGAATATATGAGGCGATCTGTATTTGTCATTGTTTTGGGATGAGGATGATAACAATTAATGTTTGGGAGATATGCTTGGTGAGCTTATGTCACCTGTAACGTGTTTATATGTTGATTAATGTGTTACTATGTGAATGTGTGCCTATTTGGTGATATCATTTTAAAAGCTTAGAAAGTCATGTAATCACCTGGAGCTTGCATATAAAGCTGACCTCCAGGATTTATTGCCATTAGGTCCAATATCCAGATCGTCTTAACTTCATTTTGGTCTATATATATATATATATATATATATATATATACTCAGTTTGTCAACATTTGGTTTATACCCAGGTGCTTCAATCTACATTCCGTCCAATAGACCAAATGGCATTTTTTTTGCCACTTGGTCCTATACCATTTGGTCTTATTACCACTCCGTCCAATCATTGGAAGTAGACCAAATCATATAGACCAAGTGGTAACAAAAATGATGTGAATTGAGTATGTGACTTGAAAATTATAGGACAAAGTGGCGATTAGACCAAATGGTAATGGACCAAGTGACAAAACAGAAAAATTGTGGCTGCTTTTTTACATTTCTGTATTTTATAACACATGTGATAAATGTGCCCGTACATCTGTAAATGGCACTTGATGAGTGCCAGAGTGATGCAAAATAAATCTTCTTTGATGAATTTGGGATTGGTGTGACGCAAAACTATATATTTCTTTTAAGGGTGCCGTGACTTGCAACAAGTTGCAAAATACTGTTGATTAATTTCCACTGATTGTTCTTGTATATATATTTTATGGTGCAGCTGCATTTTCTTTCATTACAAGTCTTTCAAATATTTATGTTTATACATGTGTATATAAAAGTAACATGTTTTAATGATTTTTCTACCAAAGACTTCAAGGTTATAGTATTATTTTTCTAATCATATAGATGATATCCAGGGGGTGCATGCACTTGTCACACCTGGCCCAAGAAACAATTTAAAGTGTATGTTTTTCAATGGATCGAGGAACATACTCTTAGATGACAGACACAACAGTTGTCTTGGTCATCGATCTTCCCCAATGTCATTGTCTGAGCTTTGGTTTCTTTCTCCCATTACATTACCGAAGTCCAACCTTTTTTTCTATCCCTGAAGGATCTGCTCTAAATTGCTAACTATTCTGCTCATATCTGCTGAGGTTGTAGGCTTATTTGAAGTGTCTCTGCACAGTTTTCCATTGGATCTTCAGACATATATATATACTCGGTTGTTTATCTTACAGCTACACCGTCGTACCGGATGGTTGATACTTCTACTGCCTTCTCTCATTGTACTCTCAGAGAGAGGCTGTGGCTGCAATTTAGGTAGGAGTCGGGTAAATGGGATATAATATATATATATCTTGCTCTCTCTCTCTCTCTTTCTCTCTCTATCTATATGATATCTCTCTATCTCTCTCTTTATATATATCTTTCTCTCTATATATATATCTCCACCTTCTCTCTCTCTCTCTCTCTCTCCAAGCTCTCTTTCTCTATCTCTCTCTCTCTCTCTCTCTATATATATATATATATTTATATATAAATTATATATATATCTCTCTCTATATATATATATGTCACACACGCACACAATCTCATCCAGCTAGAACAATATATTCTTCAATATCTCCATTTCTCACACCATCAAGTATTTAGTTGTATATATTTCACAATTTATATAATATGTTTACATATGTATATTTGTCAATATAAATATATATATATATATATATATATATATATATATGATGAAAAATGCAATGAAATTATAAACTTTAAAAATTAAAGGAAATACAGTAACTGGAAATCTCCAGTACTGAGAAATAAATATGAAGGAAAAGGATATAAAGATGAAATAAATTTGAAAGACTTCTTTCATCTGTGGAAGGCCTATTTAGTTTTGTTGGCAGCATAATGAAAGGATGGATTACTGAGCTGGATAATGGATGAATGAATGAAAGTATGAATGGGTGACCAATTAACCAAAAGAATGAAAATATGAACCAATGACCAACCGAGAGAATAAAAGTGGCAACATGAAAGGAGGAATCAAGAAAGAATTAAAGCATGAATGAATAGTATTAATGATTTATTATCAATAGACAATGACAAGATAATCATGGGGGAAAAAACTGAATGATCGGCCGAATGGATAACTGATTAAGGATAAAATGGCATGAACTGAGGCATTTGTAAATTAAACTGGTGTTAATTATGAATGTAAATAGAAAACATGAACAATACTATTATTTGACTTCACCCATTGCCCACTGGAGCAAAGTGGCCCCTGTATTAAACCTATGAGAATGTGAGAATTCATTAGTCAACAGCAGTGGCGGATCTAGGGGGGGGGGGGCGAAACGGCCGCGGCCCCCCCCCCCCCCCCCCCTATTGGCGGCGCAAAAAAAAAAAAGAAAAAAAAGAAAGAAAGGAGAAGAGAAGAAAAAAAGGAGAAGAGAAAAATTTAGCAGCCTTTTCACACAGAGCTAAAATTCATCGTTTCTAGAGATGATTTGTATAAACGTGTTTAACTCAGCAGTTTTAAACATGTTTATAGAAAAAAATTCCTGTGTGAACATCGTTTATACGATGTTGGGATAGATACGTTTTTCATAACTCAAGAATGAATGGAAAGGTGGATTGGTTGAATAAGGTCCTTTGTGGAATACTTTTAGAAAAACATTTTAATTTGCTGAATTTTATCAACTTTATATGCCTGTAACATACCCATGTCATGTACATGTACACTGGGTATTGCTTTAGTGGGTGATTTTGAGCTTTTGTAACCTACCAAATAGTTTAGATTGACCATACAATCTTTGGTTATATGACATCATTTGGAACAACCTCTGTAAAAATGAAAACCTGATGATTTGCGAACACACAGCGATGTAAATAGCAAGAGGATAGGTTGAAAAATTGAAATTTGCTATTCTCACATCATTTAAACTAGTTAAAGTATGCAAATGTCTGTAAACAGTTTATTGTAACGTGCTAACAGCATACCAGAAAGTGCTGTTAAAATGGCTGAATATTTTTTATGAGTCACTTTTATTGAGATTTTTTCAAATAAATTACAATTAAGGATATACTCAAGCAGCCAGCCATGCCTTGCATCACAAAGTGTGGCTTCAATATTTTAGGTTTTATATGTCAATTTTGCCGAAAATTTAGATATTTTACGGAAAGTTTGATTTTTGCATCATATTTTTTCATATTTTTATATTCAAATCTAAATAAAATTATCAAAATAGTGTATTTAACAGGAGTATGCATTGTGAAATCGTAACTTACACATAAGATCGAAAAATTAGCTGAAATTTGCAAACTATGTGCTTACAATCAAATAGTGTAACGTCCGAAACACCCTTCTTGAGCAAACACAAAATTATTGGATTTGAAAGAACTGATTTGTGTTTTGACTTGTGTTAAGACTTATAATAACTTATTTCATAATGATTTATTCACTCCAGATACCCTAAAATATGGATTATCATTTAATTGGTATTTTTTGTTTCGGACGTTACAACTGTTAACGGAAAATTGGTTTTAACTATGAAATAGTATTGTAAATTTCTCTTTTTTGGTGGGTAGCCGCAATGAAATGTTACGATAGATAGGTCCCGCAGTTCATATATTTTCTGCTACTTCAAATTGAAAGTTGTTTCGGGCGTTAAAAAATTGTTTACGGAAAATGAGACAACTTTTTCAAATTTTGAGTATATTTCTAATGTAAGAGCTACTATAATTAAATTATATTTTCTTTTAATTTTAATTTAATGACTTGGAGTAACTAATAAGCTTATTCAAAACATATACAATCTCAATAATTTATTGTTATAGTGGGTTAAATGAGGGTCTACATTGTTTACGGAAAATGTAACGTCCGAAACACCATTTTCAATTGCACTGTTCCATCCAAATACACAAGTTAATTCAGATTACTGTTAACTTTCTTTAAGATCCACCCATGCTCATTAATCATCAATAGAAAAAACATATTGTTTGTAGTTATATATTTTTTCGGCTCCAACCAAAAAGGTATGTCAATTTTGTTACGAAATTCCGTAAACAATTTGCTGTTCAGGGATACCTCATGCACATAAAGCAACGTTGAAAAATTTTCATTAAGCTATGGGAGGTCAATCTAGGTCCATGCTACAAGAAAAAGTTGTAACTGATTTCTACTTCGTTATCTTTGTAAAGTTTTAGGCTCTCAAAGGGCCATTTAGCTATTTGGTCATAGTTTTAAAAAAACCAGTGCCATATATATATATATAGTATACTCGCTCACATACAGGGGAGGGATATAACAGAGAGAGAGAGAGAGAGAGATACTTGCACACAACATACAGAGCCAGATGAGGGGTATATATATTAAAATACATCCAAGTCCCTTCTAACAACGATTTTAATGTCGAACGTTGAGGTTTCTGGGTCGGCGCACATGGTGGAATAATTTTCTGATTTATATTGCAAATAGTTTTGCAATCATAATTATATGAAAATACATGTTGAAGTTATAATTTTTCATTTTAATACCCAGAAATGAAAACCTCTTTGCATAATGTGCATAAATACAGACTTTTTTTTACTAATCTGAAAATGCTCAGTGTCAATGCTACCATCATATTCAACTAGCATCATTGTTGGCAAATAAAGATTAAAATAGGACTTTGGTATCTCTTTAACGGAATCTGGTTGGGATATTTTGCAAGAATTCATAATATTTATTAAAAATGGGTCCACCTTATCCACCTACCCCGAAACGTTGAGCACTTGATTTCTTCAAATTAGTTATTTACTATGAAATTAAGATGAAATGTTATTAACTTTAATTACTTTATGACGAACGATGGGTACACAATTCGGACATCATGTTTAGTAACATTAACATTCCATTAAGCCATTTCGTAATTAGGATTTGCGCATGGGCATATAAAGGTCATTCGTTCCAAAATTGTAAAACCATCGAGACGAATACTGGTATCGCGCTCATGAAAGTTATGTAATCAGTATTCATTTATTCACCGACAGTACATTTATCTGATACACAGGTGGAAGTATTCTTCTCAAGAGGCAAACAAAGTTATTCATGTAGCACCTCAATCACTTCGGAAGTGACTATTCTAAAATACACAAGTGGGACGTATCATGTACAAGATATGTGCATATTGTGGGGTCATGCGTTCCGAAGCTATTTACGAACTCGCTTATTCCTTACTGTTCTCGGAAAGAATGAATGCCGGTGCGATCAGTTCTCGAGTCATTGAATGAGTTTGAAGAGTTTGTCATTGTGTTCACTGACCTTTAAGACACCACTTTAAGCATATAACACTTTAAATTTAGTACTTATTCCACCCCCAAAATAAGTTTGTTTCGATAGAGGCAGAATAATAAGAAAATCAGGCGAGTGAAAGTTTGAGCAGATTCTGAATGAAAATAAGAAAGTTATGAATTATTGAAGTTGTGATCAATCAAATACAAATTGGCAACTCTGTGACTTATTATACGAGCTCTCCTTCATTTGCTTTGTGCATAATATTCCATAAAATCATGTTTTCTTCGTTATTGATGACGGAATATATATTTGTTCCTTGCAGGAGGAGTATAGAAACATATTTGCAATTATTATATTTAGGGTGCATGTATGGTTGAAATTTTTCTTGAGGGAAAATGAAAATTTTAGATTTTTTTAGTACTGAGCAAATGGAAGTTGAGCTCGCATGATACGTCATAGAGTTGCCAATTTGTGTTTGATTGATCACAACTTAAAAATTCCTAACTTCCTTATTTTTAATCGGAATTTGCTCAAACTTTCACTGACTTGTTTTTCTCAATTTTCTACTCCTATTAAAACTAACTTAATTTCAGGGTGGACTTCCCCTTTAAATGCACATTTAGCCTAAGAGGTAAAATATGAATTTTCTAATGAGACATCAGCTAAATTGCATATAATGCAAATTTAATTGCTCTCCACTACTTAAGATTTCCTAAAGTTTTAGTTAGTTAAGAGGAATATTTCTAAAGGCCTCGCAGTGGAATAAATTCTTGTGCAATAACTTTCGAGTTACCCCATAAAATTCGGCATAAAATGAACTGGGCTATTTAAGAAGGTGGTACACTCTAAAAACTGAAATGTTAAACCACTATTTAGTAGGGCCGAGGAGTGACCACTTTTTCAAAATGGTAGATTAACACTTTAAACATGCT